ATATTCCCTTTTCCGCTCAAACAGCCCCGGAGCTGGTCCCGCTCCAGGTTTGGCTCCTGTTCCCCCTCTCCTGCATCTCCCCCCGGCTCCCTGCGCTCCGTGCCGCGCTCACACAGAGCAGCCACCGGCAGCCCTCGCTTTGCCTTCATCTTCCTGCCAGGGAAATGGTTTTAATTTCCAGGTAAATTAAGATTTTTATCATTTATTTTTGTGTGCTGCCGGACTGGGAAACGCGGAGCTTCTGCCGCGCTCCCAGCGCATCTCCGGGGAGGAGATGGTCGGACTGGGGATTTCTTCCACAAAAACCTGGAGCAGAGGCTGTTCTGGCTCAAAAATCACCTGTGCAGCCCTCGCTGCACAACAACCCGGTGGCATGTCGATGTCTCGTTGGGTTATCTAATTTATTCTCTTTACATCTTTTTATTTAATCGGGAATTTAATTTGATTGTCTGGCATTATCAGCACGTTCAGGGCATTTTGGATTACGGGACGTGTTGTTTTGTGAGGGGGAAACGAGTCCCTGTTTAATATATAAAATATAGATGATTGAAAAGTGTATGTTTGCTTCATTTATGTGGGTTTTTCTTTCTTTCTTCTATTTAATTTATTTTTTTTTTTTACATGTAAAACAATAAAGATCACACATCGTGGGGAGGAAAAATCCTGGCTATCCAGAAAAAGCTTTCATGTGGTGTCTATGAATACTTTCAGGACAATAATTTTCACCAACAAAACGCCACCCTAAAAATTACGATTCAGAAGGTAAATCAACCACTTTCCTCCTGCAGCCTTGGCGTGGTTTTTTTTGAAGGAGCTCAGGGAACCAAGAGCAGGGTCCAGCAGGTCATTTCCCATCTCTGGCTGAAAAATGCTTCTCCCATCTCCGTGGCTCTTCCCTTCTCCCAACACCCTGCAGGGATGTGATGGAAACTGCCTCAAAATCCTCTCAATTCGCCGCTGTTTTTCCCCTGTCTGCCCACCGGGTATTTTGTTTGCTTCGCTCTGTGCTCACTGTCAGCCTCCCCCGAGCGTGTGCTCCGTTGGGAACCGCTAAAAATGACCACGATATTTTCACCACCGTATTTTTCTGACCGTGTTTCCACTGCTGTTCCCAGGGGTGGGGATGGACACAGCTCAGGGCTGGCCTGGCTCTGCTCTGGGGGTCGGTGATGTGCCAGGAAGGGGCAGAACACGACTCAAATAACACTCAGGTCTCTACTGTTTCTGTAGGAACTCTCTTCCCGAAGTTTTTATGCCGGTCAATAAAATAAACCCCACAAACAGCCGCCCTTCTCCCCCTCTCGGCGGTTTTAGGCACTTTTTGGGTGATGTTTAAAGCTACAATCCTATTTAGAGCCGAAGCCGCTGATTTCTGGCAGCCTCAGCGACAAACACAGGCAGAATGGGAAGCTCCCAACCCCAGGGGTGTCCCCCATCCCAGCGGTGAGCACTGAGCCTTGCAGGCAACAGGAGGATTTGGTGTTTTGTTTGTTCGTTTCAGCGATTTTTTCCTCTCAGAATAAGCGAAATTAATTTTTATTCCTGGTCCTTCCTCATTCCATGACAACGGCCCGACTTTTTCCTGCTCTCCCCAAAAGCTTGAGGAGCAGGAGAGGGGTTGTTTAGAGCTACCTCTTTCCCTCTCTCTTTTAAAAAAATATTTAATGTCTTCATTTGGGAAATGTTAGAGTGGAAGTGGCTTGTAGGAAATAATTGCTGGAAATGGGAAATCTTGGTGGATTTTCCTATTTTTCAAGAAATCCGTTGAAGATTGATTTTCAGTAAAATTCTTCAGTGTTTCTTTTTTTTTCTTTTTTAAATGAAATTGTTTCCTGTTAGTTCATTTAACATCTAAGTGGTTAACCTTTTTTTTTTGTTGTTTTCCTTATAGAAAATCAAAAAGCAATCTAAAATCCTTCCTTGAACCTTTGCTGTTGTAATTTTAAACACTTTCCCATCCGCTGCCCTAAACATTTTGAACTTTTAGGGATCTGGAAAGCAAGTCCAACCCAAATTTTTTCATTCTGTAGCCAGAGCTACATAAAAGCAGATCAGATATGCAGGTTCTGTGGGCAGTTATAAAGTGAATAGTAATTAAAGCTTTGACTTTGCTCTTCCTCTCTTCTGGTGGCAATGACAAACAGCATCACCTTAACCAGCTGCAAACTCCTGCTTGGATGGTCTTACTGGGCTTAAAAAGTGGCTGATTTCTGTCTTGGATTTATCTTCTTTCTAAGGAATGAGACATTTCCAGGGGTGGGTGCAGTTCCTCACAGGATCAGTGCAGTTGGAGCAAATATTTGTCCCTGAGCCTGCTTGGCGCAGAAGTGAGAAAAGAGAAATAAGGGTAATAAAATAATAATAAAAAAGGTATAATTCTTTGTGCCACTATATGATTTATTGTAGAACAATTTATTGTAAAATTTACCCTACTAGGAGATGATAACAACCAAATGGCTTGTGGGCTGCTGGACATTAGAGCTTGTTCAAGTATTCCATGACTGCAGGAGTTGGACATAACCTTGTCTGGTTTACCTTCTGTCTTCAGAGATGTGATGATGGAACGTGGCTTTGAGGTTCTGCCTTATTTGATGTTTTTAACTGATAAACCCACGTTTTTTGTTGGGGTCAGCAGCCTGTCCATGCCTTTGGTGAGGTGCTGATGTCACTGCAGTAGAAGTGACTCCAGGTCTTCGACCACTGAAGGTGCTCTGGGCTGCAATGCTCCCAGAAGTTAAATATTAAGAAATGATGGCTCTACAAAGTGCCTGCCAAATAAATATTGGGAATTTCCATGGGATGATGCACACAAATACCTCTCTGCCCTGTGTTGGGCCATGGGACCACCAGACATTTTTCATATACAAATTTACATACATTTCTGCAGGGGTAACTGAGGTACCTTTGTTATCTAAGTGAAATCCTTTTCCCAGCAATTTGAATCAAAATCAAAAGGACAATTCATTACCTATATTATCAAAAATGCTTCACTTCTTACTTCCAAATTGATACTTAAGTCACTGCCCTTCTTCTACTAAAATAAATTCAGTCTAGGTTAGTCAGGTTCTGCTGGGTGCAGGAAAAATGTGGGTTAGTCCCAGGGGGGGAGATCAAGAAAATTTTCTTTCCACCTAGATGCTGCAATATGTTGGGGAAGAAAACCCCCCCCAGAACAACATCACAACGAAGAGGCTTCTCCAAATTTTTGTGGGATGATCAGTGTTCACAAAGAAACCTACCCCTCCCCCAGGAGCAGCATCGCGTACAGGGCTTTTATTTCAGCACCCAAACGCTCCCCAAAAGATCCTTGTTTTGTTCGAAAAAGCCACCCCACCCAGGGAGATGCCCCTAATTTATGGGAGCTCTGAAAGGTAGTGGGATGCCAGATAGGGAGGAAGGTGATCAATTAAGACATTAAGCATTTTGCACCACATGGACGCATCTGCATGGCAGCCAAATAATAAGGCCATCAGCTCATTTTCAGGGGGCTGTTGCCTACTTCAACTCAATCCTCAGATCAAAGGGAAAATGTCTGCTTGCATTTTCTAATCAGAAAAGGGATGCTAATTCAGGTTCCTTAATGTGTGGTGATAAGAGACTTCTTCAATTAACTGGATTCTATAGCTCGGGAAATAAAAAAAAAAGGGGGATACAAAGGGAGTCAGGCTGGAAAGGCAGAAGTTCTCATTAAATCAAAGGTCCAATATTCATTACCTCCAGCATCTGGGGCTAAACACTAAACATGGAGATCATCAAAGGGGGTTTAATGGGTTAAATTGAGAATATAATCTCATTAAAATATTAGATACGAGTAAATAGCTCTTTGATATTCATCTGAAGGTTTCATTAAAATAGGCACTTGAGGTTTGTATTAAGGGGGGATTATCACTTTTAAGCAGAAACAACAAGTTGAGGTTCCCTGAGCAGAAATGCTTCCAAGTGCTACCATTTGGTTTAAAAATGAAAAGTAGGAGCACTGGCAGAGCATGGGACCATTTTTCCAGCCGGGATGGGTGGATTTTACCACCTTCCACAGGGAGGGGATGCCAAACATGCCCCCTGCAGCCTCACCTTTTTCAGAAGGTGATCCTTCCAAAGCATCCTCCCCACACTGGAAGGTGCTTCTCCCACCAAGCTTTCCCCAATTTTTTGTAAACTTCCAGCTGCCAAACCCCCTTCAAAAAGAGACAAAAAGGGACCTAATAAATTGGACAAAGCAGTTACACCCAATCACAAGGTGCTTGGTTATTTGTCTGCCTTGTAACCAGCTTGTTTGCTTGGAGATTTTAGCCAAAAATTCCCTTGCCGGGCGTTCTAATCACATTTCACATGTTGACTTAATTCATCACTCACTAACTTAAAGAGATGGAACCATCATAAGAAACCCATCTGTTTGTTGTTATTTTTATAGACTTAATCTGTTAAAAGCTGTTTCCTCTCCAACATGTAGCTCTCAATTATCCTTAGTTACCCAATACATTTTCCAACTGCTCCTGGCTAATAACAGATTGTCTGCCTGCTCAGCCAGGACTTGGTTGGAATTTTCTTGTCCCAGATGAAGCTTCAAAATTTTGGTCTTAATGTGACAACTATTCCCTAATAAATACCAGAGTAATATTTGAATAATTAGTGTTGCATCATTACCAACTGCTGTGTTTGGTGCATATTTTTGGTCTTTTTCCTTACCAGTAATACCTTATTTTTGGCTTCATTTCTGGACAGTCTGCCAAAATCTCCTCTGTGCTTCAAAAAGAGAAATATTGATGGTATTAAGATCATCATATGAGACAGAAGTTCATTTTTAATGTGTTGTAGACGTGTCCATGTGTTTGACTTGTCCAAAAATGATCCAGCTGTGACAAGCCAACAGCTGATTAGTCTGAAAGATGCAACTGCTAGATCAGTTATTTTAAAGAAATATAACAGAGAAGACCATATTTAAAATGCTACATATGCAAAGGTTTATTTTATTAAAAAAAAAAAAAAAAGGTATGGTAGAACTGAGCCCAAAATGTACCAATGATTAAACTTGAGCCACTTCATATTTCAATGGGCTGGTAAATCAATATGTGATGGTCAGAGCTCTTAATCAAGTAGTTGAGGCATTTTTGATTTGAAGATATCCCAGATATTTTCAGATATATCCCTTATAAGATATGAAGGGCTTTGAAGGCAGCCACAACCTCCTTCTCCTTCTCGTGTCTACTTCGCAGAGTCTCCAGGGATGGGATTTTGGGGAAACTGCTTCCATCTGAACTCTGGGGCTGAACTTCCTCTTTCCCCTCTTTGTCTGATGGTCTTGTCATGAAAGTCTTTGGCCTTGGAATCTTCTTAGCATATTCCAGTGCCTAAAAACAGCAAAACTGCGGTAACTGATGGGGAGAAAACCTGACCAATGTTTCCAAGAATACTTAGGTGGGTTTATGTTGAGTCAAACCAACAGGATTGCAGAAATCCTGGATCTGAGAGAGCCCTGGTTTAACCTGGGGTGTTTTTTGGTGTCTGTGCTTGCTGCAAGAGTTGGGAAAACACCTGCCATGCCTCAAGTGGAAGCTGCATCGTCTCATGTTCTTGGTGAAAGAGTGTGTGGGAAGCCTTCTGAGGGAATCCAAAGCCCTTTGGACACCCAGACAATTCAGCTTTGTCACATTAAACCCCCCCTCTTTGTTCCTGAAGCCTGCAGGGCTCCCTTTGTCCCCTTGGAGAAATACCCCAGTAGGCAGGTGAGCTCCTGCAGAGCTGATGGCTCAGGCATGGCATTTCCAGAGCTTTGTTAATTCCTGCAGCAAGGAAAAGGTGCTCCCTCGGTTGGTGTGTGTGGGTGCAATGCCATGGAGGCCCTCACTGCTCATTTGGGCCATTTTGGGAGGCCAGTGAAGGCTGAAGTGATGTTGTGTGGGCTGGAAAAATAAGAGCAATTACTGTAGCTGTGGAACCGATGGGCACGTTTGTGAGGGAGCCTGAGGGGCAGGTGGGTAATAATTAACAAGAGGAAATCTGTGCTTCATGGAAAAAGGAAAATCAGAGTGGAGAAACTATTTTAGCCTGCTCTGAGTTAAACTGATTCCCTTCCCCTTGTGCAAAGCCCAGAATCTCTCCCTGTGTGCATTTTAAAGGGAATCTGTTCTTACCTTCTGTCTCGACACTGAAGGGGTGACCTGAGGCTTTGTAGGTAACTTCTGAACTAAAGTAATATTTTTCATGTTGTATTCCTTAATCTGCTTTGAATATTCCTTTTGCACCTTCAATTTCTGCTTCTGAAAACAAAACAAAACAAAACAAAACAAAACAAAAAAAAAAAAAAAAAGAGGAAAAGAAAGGTGTGTCATTGAATGTCTCAGTGGATCCATCAATGAAACACTTTTCCCCACCAAGTCTTCCATTTACACCTCTGCTGCTGTTTAACCTGGCCATGCCATTGATCCCCCACCTCAGCAGAACACAACAGGAAACCCTGATAAATGGCACAGCTTTTTTTTTTTAGTGGCTTTTCATTTTTAAGAGCTTTTCCCTGGGTTGAGGATAGAGCTCAGCAGAAACGTGACAGGCACATCTGAATGTTGGGAACAATCTGCCTCCATTTCAACAGAGTAATGTGCATCCAGATGCTTTCTTGTGTTTACACAACTTGTTCTACTTCCACTTTGAGGGTTGGGCAGACCTCCTGCACTGGGAATGACAGTGCAGCTCAAGTCCCTGCTTCTGGAACCACAAAATCAGAGGGATAAAATTACCCACGGTGCAATCATCTTCCCTTCTATTTGAATTTCCCCCTTTAGGATCTCAAGGCAGACCTAAAACCAAGGATATGAGGCACCAAACAATCACAAGTGACTTCTCAGCAGCGATTTCTCTGCCTGTAAATTCACTTTGCAGAGCTGTAAAGCAGAGCAGGTGACAGAGGATTTACTCACTTTCTCTTTGATGGCTTCATAGTCAGGTCCGAGGCCCCCGAGCTTCACGTTCAGGTTTATGCAGACTTTGGGGCCACATGGCTGAAAAAACCACCAAACAGCAGTGATAGATTCCCCTTTATATGGTTTGATAGAGAGAATAATTAAAGCAGGAGCAGAGCAGGGTTCAAATGGACTCTCAGTCTCAGCCCTGGCACGTGTCATTTTAAATAAGTGACCAACGAGACTGAGTTAATTGCACGAGGCAGAGGACACTGCATTTATTTCCTTTGAATCTTGGCGGGAAATTGCCAATTATCCACATCACAAAGCAGCATTTTCTCAGTCAAAACTGACCTCTTGGAAGCTTTATTTTTAAACAGCTTAAAGTGACCCCTTTGACTGTTATTAGAGACTCCAAAGGAGGTGTTGTGAGAGAAGCAGATAAAAGTACCTGATTTTGGTGGTAAAAAAACTAGGCCAGTGTTGATAGTAATAGTAACCTTTCTTTGTTCTCAAAACTGCAGTGGAAAATTGTCCACAGGCAGTTGAAAAATCCATGCCTTGAGCACAGCAAAAGCTTCACAAGTGCATAGGAAGAGAGGAGTGATGGGTGATGCCACTTCAGTCCTTCTTTCTACAAGGACCCCAATGCTTCCAGAATATTTTAATAGAAAGATCCTTTAATACTAAGTCCTTTTTTAATAAAAACCTTGATAAATAACTCTTTATTAATAAAAAGTGCCCTTTCAAGAGTACCAGGTTAATTTTTGGAAGTGAACTATGTTTTAAAAACTCGTCCTTGTGATCAGCTCTGCAGTAATTTCAATCACAGAGTAAAGCAGAAGCACCAAGACATTTCTTCTATATGCAAGTAAAATATGCATTTATTTAAAACACGTGTTCAGGATAAACTCAACTGCAGAGAAACTAATTCTATGCTCTGAACTTTCTGTTTGAGGTTTCTTTGTGTCAGCTACCCCATGACATAAATTACTAACTTTTAATTTTAGCTTCTGTGAGGAGTAAATCCTTTAGCTGTCTACAGAAAAATCAGGGTTTTCTCACTTCACATGATGAGCAGAACTGCATTTGTTTATTAGGAAAAGCTGGATTTTCCTGTGAGACACAAACACTCTTATTCTCTGGGCATTGCTCACATATGAAGCGTGAGAAAGCCACCAAAAATACAGGATATAAACAAAGGTTGGAGCTCAGGGGAACAGAAAGGGATGGAAATCTGCCCTTCAGTTACTATCATAATCCTGCTAATTCTTCTTAGAGGCATCCAAGCAGCAACACACAGATGAAACACAGGAATAATTATTCCAGCTTAAGTTTGTCTGCCCTGAGACTTGGAGCAAACTTCTTAAACGTTTAATTTGTCATGGGCACACAGGGATCCCTTTATGCTGTTCCACTGCATCTGTGTTAACTGGTTCCACTGTGAAACTGGACACACAGAAGAGACAAAAAGAGATAAAAAGACCCAAATGGGATCATCAGGAGGCTTGGAATCGTGTTTATGCCGTTAGCTTTACAAATCCCCTCAGTTTGGTGCTGTTCCCTGGGAATCCCTTGGAAAGCAGGAGATTTGGGTTGGCCATCAAATGAGCCTGCCCAGGGTAATGGTGTGCTCAGATGGGAGGCCAGGCTGCCTGCTGGCAGATCCAAACAATCTACAACAATGAAATATGTGATGGTTTAGGAGAATTCTGGGGCAGAACTCCACTATTGCTGCCTTATTTGTTCCCAAAAATCCCTGAGAGCATTAAGGAGTTCCCATAAACCCAAAAATGTTACAAGTAGAAGTTGGACTCACCTCCTCCAAACATCCACTTTTGTTTTTTCCCTAAAGAATTTTGGATTACTGAGGGAAAAAAAAATTAATCAGATGTTAAACCATCCAATCCACGTCTGTTTTCTTACCTTCTTGCTGACTTTAGGCAGGGTTTCCTTTTTCATTTGCATGAGATGTGCCTCTGAGCTGCTCCTCCTTGTTGTCAGTGGATTTCCTCCACCTCCCTCCAGATCCTCCTTGGAGCCACTTGGTGACCATGGGATTGGAGGTGGGAGGAGGCTGAGCAGCCACCTGTCAGCAAAGTGAGCTCCTGCCAAACCAGGGATTCCTGGGTGATGCTGCTCCATCATCTGGGTGAACCTGGAGGTTGAACAAGGGGCTGGTGGTGAGCTGTGAACAGGAGAATGAGGAGGCCTTAAAAAGTGAGATATACATTTATATGCTTTATATGTGTTTCTATATAAATTTATTTTTATATAATATATTTCTCATAATTTTATAAATAGTATATATTTATTATATATTATTATTGATCTAGATTATTATTTAATTTTTATATAATTATTTTTATTTTTATTATACATTTATTTATTTTATTTTATATATATTTTATATACAGCAGGTAGCTCAACAAGCAACCTGCACATGGAGTATACTGGGAGCATGAAGATGGAAAAATGGGTATCTCACAATGACTGACTTCCCTTCCACCCAAGTGTATGGAAACTGCACAAAATAAAAGGAAAAATACAGATGGGGAGATTTTCAGCCTGATGCAAAGTTATGTAAAGCCAAGGAAAGCTGTTTTTAAATGGTTTTGGGTCAGGCCCACTGAGCACTGAGAGAAATCTTACATAAATCTTAAGTTAATAGTAATCTATAGTGGCAGGCTGGTAGCAAAATAACTTTATACTTTGGGCTTTAAAGCATTTTATGGTCCATTTCTATATTTTTTTGGGCATCATAGTGTTATAATAACACTGTTTCAACATTTATGCCCTTACCATAAACTACTGATAATCGTAATTCTGGTACCTTTTATCCTCATGGATGTATTTTTTGCAGTCCTGAAGCAGGATTTGATCCTTCAATTCTTGAAAACATCTTGAAATTGGGGAATTACTGAAGCAAGTGCTGGATTTTGCTGCTGGATCTGTGTCAGGGCCAGCAGAAGGGTTTGGATGCAGAGATTCCTGCAGGGCAGTGCTCTTGACCTGCTCCACTGGCCTGGGAGCAGCCTGAAATCCTGGTATTTGCTTGGCACTCTGGTGCCAAGGCTTCGGTTCTGCTGCTCTTCCTGGTGGTTGTTGGCTGCCTTTCCCTGGAAAATCTTTTCCATTGAGATTCCCAGTGGGTTTTGCTTTATTCCTCTGGGAGAACTTGTTGTGCTGATCCTGAAACAAATTGTCAAAATTGGGGTGAGCTTCAGTTTAGGTGTTCAACAGGAGCCCTTAAATGCACAGGACTGCCTGTTCCTAACCCTGGGGACTGTCAACCATCTGGAGAAACTCTTCCAAAAATCAAATCAACTCTTGGATTTTACTCTCTAATGAAAGTAAACTGTCCCAAATTTCAGGGGAAGATGGCTTTGTGCACACTTTTTAGACTGATCCACAGTAGGAACAAACTGATGTCAATTATAGGAATGACTTTATTTCTAAACCTCCTCCCTGCCTGGTACCCTGCAAAACATCACCCGGGTGATAAGAGATAGTTGAGGAGTTTAATCACACCAGGGCTGCTGTTGTGAGCTAAACTGCCCTCCTCTAAACCTGGAGTTTATTTAAGATTTATCCCTTTGCAATGACAGCGTCAGGTGTCGCCCACTTTGAGGAAAGACCTGGAAACACACAAATCCACCCTCAGCCCGTTTAATCTCTGGCAGCTCTAAAATCCTCCATTTCATCCTCCCAGGGTTCTTTTGTCAGCAACACTCGCAATCTGCACACAGGCACACGCACTCAGAACAACTGCTTGATGGCAGGAATTAAATCCACATATGGACCAGGGGGGTTTGGAAAAGGAAAACTTTAGCACTGGAGCCAACAGGACCACTTGTTAGCTGGACCCTCTGCTCTAACAATCCCTGTCCTGGCACGTTGAGGGTCACTGGTGGAAAGAGGGAGGTGCAGCTGAAGTTTTCCCATTTAAACAGCCCCTTCTCCCCCCTGAAATTCCAGATATAAAGTAAATCTCTCCCGATGAAAGCTCCTGTTTTTTCATCAGTGATCATAACCTGGTCTCTTCACTGCTCCAAAGACTCACATTGCATCGGTTTAAAGCCAGCAGAAAACAGATTTATGTGTACAGAGGAGGTGAGTCCAACTTCTTCTCTGGTTTATGGTGACTTCTGGTTTTCACAGGGATTTTAGGGGACAAATAAGTCAGTAATTGAGTTCTAGCTCAGAATCCTCATAAACCATCACACATGACCTTGTACCATTGTGATTTTGCATTGTTATCAACTCAATAATGTCATAAATTCACTAAATAATGTCATAAATAGGCAAGATCCTTTAAGCTCAGAATTCCTTGGCATTTGGGATCCCTTTTGCTTTAAAAATATTCAGTCCATAAGGCACATGCACTAAATTTTGGTGATTATCTATTGATAAATATTCAAGGATTTCTTGTCAGTCAGCAGTACTTTAAAAGTAACAAGATGACAGCTTTAAATATCCAAACTTCAATGATTTTACATATATATTTAAACTATTAAATTCTATCCAAAAGGCACCTTGAGCTGCTGCCCTTTCAGGTTGTCTTTAGGCTTCTTTTTCACAGTCTGGGGTGGTGGTTCTTCCTCATCAACTGTTTTAGGATCTGTAACCTGAAAACCAAGAACGTTTATGGCAACAGCACAAAGAAATGAAAGGATTTAAAAATCTTGGGGAGAGAATGAGTAATAATTTGCCTCCTATTAAAACTAAAATCCCAAAGTTAGGCATGATATAATAGGCAACAAGAAAATACATGGTTAAAAGAGAAAAGAAGCAAAAACCCGATTAACAACTGTGTGGTATCAGGGAGTGTTGCTTCTGCTTTTAAAGGGGAGAGAGAGGAAAAGAAAATTGCAGGAAGTTTGCAGCACAGAAACCTCCCTGTGAGTCTCAAATGTCTGGGCTGCTCCATTTGGAGGAGTGGATGCACCTAATGACAGAAAAACAAGCAGAAACCATCCCCGGCCAAGCAATCAGATACTGATGGATGACACACCCCACCCACTGCCAGGGCCTGAGAAAGTCTTGCAGAAAGAGATGGCAAAAAACCACAGTAATACTGGGAGAAAAGGGCAGGGAAAGCTGCAGGAATAAAGCACCCAGTACATGTCACCTGGCAAAATAAGCTCACAGACAAGAACATCTTCCCGTGGCCACAGCTGTGGGAGCAGGATGGCTGCAAATCTGATTTGAAGGAATTTTTTTTTTTTTTGCCCTGGTAAATACAGCAATAATGAACATTTTCCTTGAAAGCATCATTTTTTTCCCACCCCACTCTATTACATCACAGGAAAACAATTTTTTTTTTTCGAAAAATTTTTCCCTTGTATTTTTGTTGTCCCAAACTATGCTGCCAAGTGACCTCGACGAGTGGGGCAGTGTCACCACGACAGGTGACTGCGTGCCTGCCCCACCCTCCCACAGAACCTGCACTGGGAACACACTTGTCACCAAGAGGACTGTGAATTAAAAATCAGAAGGGTGAAATCAGTGGGAAGAAAGCGTGGAATCCTCCCTGGAAGCCGAGTCTCCCTGTGGGATGAGAGATCAGGACAAGGAAGAAAAGGGTTTCCTGCTGAGTTTTTTGGGGTGACCCCCTGGCTCCAAATGGGAAATGCAGAAACTACAAAGCGAATTAAAGGTTTGCAAGGCAGGTTTCCTGACCTGTGGAAAGAGCCAGCTCTGCAGTCAGCAGGATGGTTTTGGTGGAACCAACTGACTCGCTGCACTGATGGTTTCCTGGGCAGGTAAAACATACTTCTACATTATCTCTTTGAAAGAGGAACAGGACACAACCTCTGCCAGCATTTTTTATTTATTTATTTATTTATTTTTTTATGTGAACCATTCTATTAATACCAATCAAATTGAGAAAATGATCAAATGAAATTGCATTTTGAGAATCATAAGCTGTGTAATGCCTATTCTGTTAAATTGAGGCCCGTAATTGCTTCTCTACTGAAAAGATACAACAAAGACAGCAATCATGGCATGTCATTATCCCAGACTAGAAAACCAGCCTTTGCAGTGAGGACTTCAAAGGCTTGTGGTTCTCGAATTGCATTTGGCTGCTATTGTCGAAGCACAGGCAATCTTGATTAGGTGTTTACACTGAGGTAAGGCACGGTGCACACAGAGCCTGAGTGCCTTGGTCTAGAGCCATTAAAAAATTGTACATTATGTTCCTGGCTTTGAAGTAAGGGGCTTGTAGGTAGGAAAGCAACTCAGATTGAGTACAGCTGAGCTAGATTGGGCCACTGCTTCTCTCTCTTTCCTCTCTCTCTCTCTCTCTCTCTCTCAAAGAAACTCATCATCGGGTTCTTTAAGAATCAGGCAACGCTGCAAAGAACTTGATGCTTTATAAAATGCTGTATAAATTAGTAAATATACAGATCAGAACACGTTTATGGTATGTTTTGGGACATGCAGCCCGTATGCATAGGGAGGACAGGTGTAAATCCTGCAAATATTTTAACTCCAATATTTTAACTGCAAAGTACTGACTTCACTGTTTCATTGCCACAGCACCAGTGTCATATCAACAAAAATATCCTACCAATAAAAACAGCTTCAACCCCCTGCAAAGCTCAGATTAATCCAGTTTAGGAAACAACAGTTTGGTTGCTTCAGCAGAGGATGTGGCTTGTTTGCTTCTTCACATCCTTGGTGTTTAGGCACTTTTTGGTAAAGTTTTCCAGGTGAGGCAGCCAAAGTTGGTTCATGGGCCAACAAGAGGCTTCCTTCAAGTCTTCCTTCACCCCTTCCAGCAAGATGGAGCAATGGATTAAGAACAGGACAGGTAAGGGCTTCTTCCTGTGCAGTGAACACACAGGTGGTGATGTTGTTCACAGAACCACAGAGTTACAGAATTGGCTTGGAAGGGACCTCAAGGATCATCTGGTTCAGCCCTCCTGCCTTGATCAGGGACACCTTCCACCAGCCCAGGCTGCTCCAAACCCTGTCCAGCCTGGCCTTGGACATTTCCAGGGAGTCCAAAACCCCTGATGTGGTGGCTGTATCAAGTTTTTGAGAGAAGAAACACGTGTGCCACATGTCACAGCTCTGCTGTCCCCATGGCCCCTTCAGCAAGGAATTCTTGTATCACAGCCCTGTTTTTAAGTGGTTTTTTCCCTATTACATCTCTTTGAACAGTGCCTACACAATGGAGTCCTGATCCCCGGCTCCAACACTCAGATATGAAAGATTTTCAGAAATTTCCTGGGGGAGCAAACATAATCATATCAACACAGCTTTAATTAGCAGCAATCTGCACTAATTATTTTTGCCATCAGCCAAATTATAACTGGAAAAAAACAAGTGCTCTTAATAGCCCTGCTAGAAGAAAGCCTGTCCACTGTTCCTGTCAGAGGAATGCAGTCACCACACGCCCTCTAATGTTGTGTCAACTGTTCATTAGCCCTGGGAAGCAGCACTTTCACTCCAAGCACAAAGTCCCTGCAGTTTTCCAAGCTTAGAATTTTCTATCCCACAACTCCTGGAGCGATCCAGTGACTCCCACCTTCCCATTAAGCATAATAAGTAGCAAGGAAAAGCAACAAACTCGTGTATAATGGTTCATTAGGAGCTGTAATTACGTTGCATTTTAATACCAGACAGTCCTCAGTTTACAAAAATATGTCAGAATTACCCACCTGCTCTTGAAGAACTTGTTGCTTTTTATTGTGTAACTCCAGATAGGAATTTATCCTCTCTGAGGGCAATCCTAAAGTCTGTTTATTTTTCTTCACAAAGTTTTTTTTTGCTCTCTGTGGTCGATCTTTGGACTGGCAACCATCTGCAGATTCCTTCTTTTTGGTCTGCAGCCCAAGGGGCTCATTGCTGACCAGGACATTTGGGTTATGAAAGCTTAAAAATTCTGAATCAAACTCTGAGAATGAATCCTGGGCTTTTGCCTCCTCTTGGCTCTTTTCTTCTGAGGAGCCACTGGAGTGGAGGTAAAATGACTCCTGTGAAAAGTCCACAATGCTTCCTCCAGCTTGAGATGCTTTCCCTGCCTTTCTTGTGTTCTTCCACTTAGGATTGTACCTTTGGCTGGAATGTTTGTCCACAGACTGTTTTTTCCTGTTTGAGAAACAAACACACAATTGTTCAGCACAAATTGCACAAATTCGACATGATTTCATTTTGCAATGAAAGGCTTGAAATAACTTTTAACTAAGAGTAGAAACTTTTAACTAAGTGTAGAAAAACATGAATAAGAAAGGGCTGTGGGTTTGCCTATTTTTTTTATAACAAGTGGCCAAATCGCTGCTCTGGTTTACATTTGTCATAAAGCAAACACAGATGCTCTGCTTTAAAAAAAATCCACAATTGGTTCAATTTATGATTTATGATCTGATCCAACAGGAGGAAAACCAATGGCACGAGCCAAACACATAAAAACTGGCTTCCAGGAGATGGGGAAGGACGTAGCAGGAGTAAAAAATGTGGGAGGAAAAAGCTTTTAAGACTGTTTTTCATTCACTGGACCTGCAGTAGAGCCCTGGTTTCTTGGGCACTGCCATGATGAGTCTTTCAGAGTGACATTTATAGGCACTGAAACCTGGTTGACTCTTCAGCCCCTACTGAAAGAACCGTCCTGATGTGCTGGATTCTCCAAAGTGTGGCCCAGTTAATCCTATTAACGTTTCCATAAACCATTTATTCATGTTTCTAACTGAGTGACACGCCTCTGCCTGTATTTCAAGTGGCTCCTGACAACAAAAATAACGTTTCATTTTCGTTTCAGGTAACCACTGGTGTGCCTCGTGGTGGAGAGGAGGTGATTTAAACGGGGGAAAACATGATTATTTCTCCTTGCCACGCACTGCAGGTAAACAGAAATAGAACTGAGTACAGAAATATGTGATATAATTGCCATGATTCAGAGGATAATGCTAAAGAGCCCCTTTGTGCTGAAACGTGGGCTCAATTGGGGGCTGCAGCCCCGGTCAGTGCATGGGGACAGAAGGAGTGTGAAGAGCCCCTTCAGCCCTAATCATCCCCCAGACAAAAAGGGCACCTTTTATTCCTCCCCCCTCACAACCTCCCCACAGCCCAACTTGAGAGGGAGGTTAGATGGGCTCTGCTCCTCAACAAAAGTGTGGTGCACAGACAACAGATGCAGCACTTCCCCTTCAAATTCCAGGGTTAGTAATGGATGGAGAGAGGGGGGCTCGTGTGTATATGCTGTGATATTTGCTCTGGTTAATGGACTGGGTTGGAGTACTTACTGGGCTAAGTTCAAACAAAATAAAATCAAATTTCCATTTAATGAAGAGCCTCGCATTCAGCGCAGTATTCAGTCAAAAAAATTACTAAAAATTAGAGCATGTTTCTAGTACAATTAACATCATTTGCACTCACAATAAAATATTCAATAACTGGCCATTTTGCTTGTTGAGGAGGTGAATAAAAGCATGCTATTAATCATTTAGCCTTCATTTGTTTGTCATTTTATTTTAAATAGACAATTAAATTGAAACTGCGCATTATTATTACTTCAGGTTTAATTTAATCCCTCTAAACTTGAGAATTATTCCCAATTCATAGAGGGTTAAACCTTTTATGCACACGGCAGCAAATTAAATTTTATTTTATGTACCAAGTTAACGCTTTCTAAAGGATGTTTAAGGGTGACAGTAACTCTGGAAATTTTTAGATTCACACAGCCATGAGGACAAAACTGCATTTATTCAAGCCATTAATTTTTGCCTATAAGTTTTCAAACAGAAGTGGCCTGGTTTGTTCAGCATTTTTTGTAAGGAATGAGAAGAGGATTGCCCAGTACTGAGTCTTGGTTTTTTCTCTCCTGTCTTGCTCTCCAAGTTCTCCCTGCAAGCAGTGACTGGAAAATCATGGAATATCTTGGGTTGGAAGGGATCATAAAGATCACGAAGTCCAACCCCTGGTGATGCCCCCAGGACAATGGATGTCCCTGCTGGTTGCTGGGCAACTCTGACTCATATTTAACTTGCCCTACAGGTTTGAGAGGGATGTTTTCTTCTCCATCTTACCCTCCTGGACTGGTCATAGGTCATTTTATGTTTCAGCCAACATCATAAAAGTTGAGGATATGCTGAGAAATGGGCATAGTAATTATGAATGTAAGATGAAATCGTCCATCTTGCTGTGTAACTATGCCTGTAGGTCCTCTAAAACTATGTCTGTAGGTGCTTTAATAGCACTTGGGCAACATAAATTGGTCTTGAAATGCCATGTATATTCTGAGGAACATATAAGGGTTTAAAGTGTCAGAACTGCTCTGCTCATCTACTGAAATCCAAGCCTTACCCTCGATCCTTCTGTGCTCCGTTTGGGCTGGGGTATTCTCCCGAGCTCACCTCCTCCAGGCTGTCACTGTCCAGCTCATCAGAACTCAGTCCCAGCAGCTCTTCGTTGTCCAGGATCATCTCCTGGAGCCCCAGCTGGTCCTGTCCCTCCTCAGGGAGGCTCTCAGCGTCCGAGTCCCGGCAGTCCTGCGGGCTGCAGGCAGATCCCCCTTCCCCGGCAAGGGCCCTCCTCCATTTCGGAGGGTGGAAAACGGGTGGCACGAGGACTTTGGGGGGCACGTGGATTTTATTCAGGGTGTGAGTGTGGGGAGAAAAAACTGTGATGTGCTTCAGAGCCGAAGGTTTCATGCCGTGGCTTGCACCGATGGTTTATTTACGCCAGCCCTGTGTTTGGAGAACAGAGCAAACAACAAGGTTGTTCACCTTATAATAATGATTATTTTTATTAAAAAGCTGTGGCTGTGGGTATTGTTGTTGGCTAAGGCTCAGAATTTGACCTTTTATTGTTCAACAATTCTTTATTCTCATCTGTCACACTCATGTTTCTTTAAGCAGTTAATAGCAAGGTCCCTATGCAGCAACTGCTATGAAATCTTAAACTATTGGTGGTCATAAATAATGCAGAAACAGCTTTTGAAAAGGAAAATGAAGCTGAGACAGAGCAACAAGATGTCATCTTTTAACTTTTGAGAGTTACAATAAATTCTGTATGTTCTCTTTATTCAACTTGATACCATCTTGACATGCAAAATCAGCTAGGAAGTGTGGCAGGGAACAACACAGTGAGAAGAACTGAAAAAATTGTAAATTAGGATGAGAGTTTCTTTACATTTGATTGAAGTGTTCATAAGTCATTAAGGTAAAGTGTCTGGGAGGGAGGAAAAAGGCTCCATCACTGGTCACCCACAGCGGGGCAGAGCCTGGGGCGGGCAAGGAAAGTGGAATCTCACTGGGAATTGCCCCTCCATGAGCCCCTCTGGGGCTGAAGCAGCACCTCAGCCCCTGGAGAAAAGCCAGGCCAGGCTGTGTGTTCCCCAAGGTGTGCCCAGTCCCATGTCCCCATCCCCTGTCCCCTTACCCTGGTTCCCTCTCCCAATCCCAACTCCACCGTTCCTGTCCCGTTTCGCTGGGACCTTCACACTGGTCCCCTGTCCTGGTCCCCTCTCCCATGTCCCCATCCCCTCTCCCATGTCCCCTGTCCCTTTCCCCTCTCCCAGTTCCTCATCCCATGTCTCCTCACCCCAGTCCCCTGTTCCCAGCCCTCTCCCAGTCCCTTGTCCCTGGTCCCCTCACCCCCATCCCTTTTCCCATGTCCCCATCCCTTTTCCCATGTCCTCTCTCCCTGTCCCTGTCCCCATCCCCTCTCCCACGGTCTCCCATCCCCTCTCACCCTCTCCGTTCCCGGCTCATTCCCGGTCCCATTCCCGGCCGTTCCAGCCGTTGCCATGGGAACCGTGAGGACGCGACCGGCCCGTACCAAGCGCGGGGGGGAGCGGGGGGAGCGCGTCCTTCCCCCCCCGCCCCGGCCGGGGCAGTGGTAGCGCCCGGGAGGAGCCGCTTTTCCACCCAAAAATGGGATTATTTCCGCTCCCTCCCGGGATATTTCTCTCATTCGGTATTCAAACACACTCTGCGTGTTTTTTTTTTCTAGCGAGAAATAAATCTGAACGACCAAAACAGCGCTTTCTGTTGTCACGTACATGCCCTTTATTTTAGGGGTTTGGTTTTACCCTTCTGCGACAGAAAAGGCGATGCTGTGGCAGAGCTCTGCGGGTGTGAAGTCCTGGCGAAGCTCCCACCTTGCCTGCTGGCAGGGAAGCGACTTCATTCCTGGCTTTGGAGGGGTCCCGTGGGTGACATCCTGCATCCCCTTCACGTTCATAGAATCATCAAATCATAAAGTGGTTTAGGTTGGAAGGGACCTTAAAGGACATCCATCTTCTCTGTAACACCCCTGGAAGTTTAGGGTGATGTGGGAGACTGTAAGTGGTGATGTTATGCAGAGCAGGGAGGGATGTTATCCTTGTGCAGGTGAGAAATGTTGTCCTTGTACAGGACTGAATATCTCCAGAGGACCCCCATTGCTGGTGGGATCTGGGGTGGGATTGCTGAGCTCGATTTCTGGCAGTGGATAATGAAATCCTCCGAGGATTACGGGTGAACCAGCCCATTGCTGACAGGAGCATCAGTCCCATCTACCTGTCCTGAAGCAGTCCCAGTTGGTTTTTGGATGGAGAGCAGCTGCTGCTGCTCCTGCTCCTTGAAATCTTGATACCTGAGATCTCTGACATGAGGAAAAAGGGCTGTTTCTGCCCGTGGTACAGGTTTCCCATCGCTACACATCTGTTTCCTTTCCACATGCAAACATTTTCTCACTTATTGCAGTGGTTTTGTCACTTGGATTCTTGGGGGTGGTTTCCCCATATCCCTCTGTTACATATTGCAGGTTGGGCTTGTGATTGGCAACTGAAACACAAACACACATTGCTTATTATTATTATTATTAATTTATTATTTATTATTTATTATTATCTGCAGCAATGCCCCAACAGGAATTAGTTTACGTTGGTTAAAGCTTTTTACCTTGTCCATTCTTCTCGTGGCCTGGACTGTCTTCATTAGATCTGGATTTATAACTCTCCAGTGTCTGCTCTGAAACATCATTTTCTGCACAGAAAACAAATGTAATTAAGATAATGAGGGTTTTTTTCCCACGACTCTTTCTCACCCTCTGCCTTGAGCAGGAAAATCCTGAGGGACTAGTTATGAAATGGAGGTTCAATCAGCCTGACCAGCTCAGGGACAGGCTTGACACAGCAATTCCATGGTCAACATTCCAGGGAAATCACCCACCTCTCTTCCACACTCCGTGAGCTTTCTTCAGCTTCATCATGAAAAGCAGGACAATGATGAGCAGCACGAAAATCAGGGCAGCCACCAGGACTGGCAGCAAGAGGTTCTTCTCCTTCTTTATGACGCCTTTGGATTTGGGATCTTGCCCTGTAACAGGGGCAGGGGGGTGTTTGTGTCATTAAATGTCCTCTGAGCCTCTGCTAATTAACACAATAACCTGCTCCAGGCCAGATGAACATGACAGAAGGGCAGAATTCACCTTATTTGACTTCATTTTGGGATATGAGGTCAATTTTTTTAATTGGATGAATAAGAAAAGCTGGTAGAAATCAGTGGACTTGTGCTCTGGCACAACAAACAGCAAAATTTAGCTTTATTTCCTGGATGATACAAATGGCTGTGTTTCTGTGGTCTCCCCCCAAAATTACAAGCCAGCACTACCTTGATGCACTGACAAAAGGGTTTGGAGGGGGAAATGTGGTCAGAGAGACCCAGCCTGGTGTCAGAATTCTCATTTCGTGTTTGGAAGCTCATTAAGGAGTCCCTACCAAGAGTGAAGATGGAAATCACAGTTGCATTTTCACGTGGCAGTGGGGCTTCTGTCCTGGGAAGTTCCTCTGTTGTGACATTTCCTTTGGGTGCTGCCTCAGTCCCTGGAGGAAAGGAAAGGAGAATATTTCTCTGAAGGCCAAAGGGATGCTTAAGAAATTCGTGTTTTCCCAGCAGCTTTGAAGCACCTGGGACTTCCCCTGGCTTAGAGCTCTGTGCTCAGTCCCCTAGTGCTGGATTTTGTGTAAATCTGAAACTTTGTGAACAGAAAAATCCTCAGAGTCCCTTACATTGTGGAACTCAGCGGTTCCCATTTACAGCCGAATTAAAACAAAGCTGAGCTTTGACTCTGTGGTCATCTGGGGGCTTTCCCTGTCCATCAGTTTGCTTCCTTTGCTGGAAAAACCAGGAATGAGGCTGTATCCTCCTCCCTGAAGGAGGTATTTTGGTGTTCATATCCCTGACTACTCCTTCAGTGTCTTCCCAGCCCCCAGTGGTGCAGTCACAGCGTGACAATCCCTGTCCTTTGCCATCCCCCCCCCCCCCCGTATCTGATGATGTAAATCGTACCATTGGGGTCACCATAACCTGATGAACCTCCCAGTTCTTCATCTCCTGACGAAGCTGATGATCCTTCAAGCCCTGCATGGACAGAGAGGCGAGTTCTGACTTTCTTATGGACACAGCTGAAATGATGATGATGATGTACCAAAACTTTGCATTTTCCTCCCTCTCAGGTATGGCAGCACACCTCGTGAAAGTCACACAGGATGGTTTGGGGTTGGAAAGGACCTTAAGGACCATCGAGTTCCAACCCCCTCTTAAAAGATTCAAGCTCCCCTTCCATGTGTGTTTATCAACACATGCGTGAATTGTTTATCAGGGTGTTTGTAATCACCGATTTAACGCTTTTAAACAAAAATAAACAAAGAGCTCGCCCATTTCTAAAGCAGCAAGTGACTTTTCACTGCAGGGCCTCTAATGCTAAGAAGGCACAAAACCCTTGGCCAACTAATTTGAGCAGTGGAGCTCTTGATTCTGCTGGAAACAACTCAGTAACTGCAGCCTGGTACAGGCAGGGATTTGTGTTGTTGCACAGTGCCATCTAGTGCAACCCACCCAGAGGATCCCAGCCTGCATCTCCCCATCCTGCTGCATCTAAGGAGAGAGACATTGGCTTCTTGCATGGCTGGAAACTGAGAAAGCAAGCAATAAATGCTGTTTTCGGTGCTCCACAGCTCTTTGTAACACAGGATGTAACTCTGTTCATGCAGCATTCCCACCCTGGTTTGGTAAATTCACGTGGCAGAGACCAAACTTACAATCAGATGTGACATCTGCTGGGAGGTTTTGCTGGGTTGGTGCTGAGCTGGTACCTGCTGGAGCCTCTGGTGCTGCAGGAGGGCTGGTTGGTTGGTTGGATCCTAAAGGAAGCCCCCCCCAGACACGACATAAATCAGAAGACAACCTTTGCCACTCGAACTGATCCTGGGAAAGTTAAACCTGCCCTGTGAGCTCTATGCTCTGGGCTGTTTGGGTTCTCTGTCTGATCTGGGGTTACACTCACAGTCCTACTCTCCCACTCTCACTTTCTCTGCCCTCTGAATGTATTTAATGCTGTGAAATGAGGAATAAAATGAAGGTGAAGCACTATTCTGTGGGTGTCTCAGAGCAGAGACCTGACCCTGAGGAAGAACTGCAAATCCTTTTTGCCCCAGGGAGTCCTCTCCTTTAAAAACTCATTCCCCACACAGGGCAGCACACTCTGGGCTTCAGCTTTCCTCGTGTATCTGTGCAATTCTGACCACCTTGGAGCAGTACAATGGGAAGGAACTCGCAGTACCCGTCCTGGGGAGGTCCTGGAAGTGGAAAGATGCCATCAGTCTCTCTTCCCTCAGGGCTGGGTGATGGATGATGCAGCTGGCTGTGGCATTGGGCCCGTGGGAGAGGACTGTCAAGCGTGCTGGTTGTGCTCCATTTCTTCCCATCAGCTCCCAGCTTGTGTTTGGTGTCACCTAAACGTTTAAGGAAACATTGAAGTGCTTCCTAGTCAAGGGCAATTTAATGAAAACCCTTTCCAGGGTCGATCTGCTTCACTGTGCTGTGCTGAAGCAGCACCTGATCACTGTGCATGAGTTGTGCAAATGGATTTCAGCTGCCCAGGGAGGGTGTGGAGTCTCTCTCTCTGGAGACATCCCAAAGCCACCTGGATGTGTCCCTGTGTCACCTGCTCCAGGTGACCCTGCCTTGTTCTGGATGATCTCCTTCCCATCCCAGCTATTCTGGGATTCTCTGTGCTCTGCAGCACAACTGGGATCTAGAAAATTTTCCATTCTATGTGACACCCAAGGGCTATGGATTTGGCACCCCAAATATAAAAATTAAAAAAAAAATTGTGCAATATTTGTGAACATCAATAAACATACACAGTGACTATTGATGGGCAATAGTTCCATTTGTACTAAGTAAATATTTATGTAACAGTCCTCCATCATCCCTACAGTGACTTTTCTCCTTTTCCAGCTGGGGGAAGTCAAACACAAAGATTCATTGCCTTGCCAGAATGAATTAGGGGGAGCTGTGTAACCTGTCTGACGGAGCTCCTGCTCCTCCAGGTGACACTGACTGTGTTTATGTGATTTGGGAAAATAAAGATGTATTTCATGTGACAGAGAGATGTGTTTGAACAGCCCCGGTGGAGAGAGAGGCATTTTAGATGTGGTGGCACAATAATTTCGACTGACTGTTTATAATGTGCAGGTTCTGATGCTTTCCCTTGATCTGTTATCCTTAAATGGAAGAAATTCCTTGTTTCCAAATCAACTTTTGCAGATAATTCACTGTAACACACACAGCAGTATTTCCCAACCTTCTTTTCCATCCCCAGCAGGGTCATGTAAGAGCTCCAAAAGCTTTCAGAGTGTTTTTTTGCTGGGAAGGAAATAATCTTTGTCAGCAACAGCTCAGTAATTACAGCTGGTTTGCCCCTGCTGAGCCCTGGTGGAACTCAGGCGATGCTGGTAATTAAGATTTATTAGCTGTTTTCTGATTAGTATAAATATTTGCAGGAAGTGATTAAAGCTGATAATGGAAAGGAGAGTCACTCCAGGCCTTCGAGAAGGAAGAGCACAATTGTTTTAAGTGGAGAAATGCATTGTTTGGTTTATGGAGGTGGGTAGTGTCTGAGTTGTATGTTGTGATGCCACAAATAATTCACTTTATCAGGCCAGAACTAAGGTTGTTTCTGGTTTAAGAAAAACCCCTGGTTTTAGAAAAACACTGTGAAAAACACAGATAAAAACTCAGAGGTGACATATTGCTTCCCTGAGCACCTTGCTTGCATTAATACCTTTGTATCTGGCAGCCTGGTTTTTTTTTTTTTTTAAATATACCCCTAATTTGGGCTCATTTTGCTCCAGTGGGATCTCACTCTCTCCAGGGGTTTTGGTGCCGATTGTTGCTGTTCTGTGCTGAGTGGGAGCCAAGCAGATGAGCCCCTCCCTTGCACAGACACCGGCATTTAATGCTGACCCATCTCCAAACCTGCACCAAGGAGTAGTAGGCCATGAGTAACAGCCCAAACTGATGTGTTGCAGAAGGTGTTTCACCCTCCACTAATTTTTAAGCTGCCCAAGGGTGATAAGAAGAAACTGCTGGTGATCAAACCCCTGTCTTTGAGCACTCACCTGGGAGCTCCATCCCGTTGTCCAGCAGCCAGCTGACCCGGGGCTGGGGTTTGCATCCTTGGGTGTGGCAAGACAGTGTAATGCCCCTTTCTGTGTCTTGGGACGCTTCCAGTGCTGGGTTAGAAGGAGCAGCTGCAGCAGGAAGATTTAGAATCAGTTTTTTATATATATACATATATCAGTTATCTTTCTACTCAGCCTGATGAGCAGTGTCTGGGGGGAGCTGAGCTCAGAGCAGGATGCTGTTGTGTTAAGCACCATCAAATTCCATGCAAAAAACTGCAGGCCTGGAGCTAAGGAGCTGGCTCTGTCGCCCTCCTCCTCTGGGACAAGCAGGGGAAGGGACTTACCCAACACCTCAACAGGCTGGGCCTTGCTTTGGAAGGGGCTGCCGTAGTAGAAGCATTTGTAGGAGCCCTCGTCGTGCACCGTGACCTGGGACAGCTGGATGGATAATTCACCCTTGGAATAACGGATGAGTTTGTACCTCTTGTCTCTTAAAACTGTAAGGAAAACAAAACCCAGCGTGCCATGGGTGTTGGTGCATAAGAGGAAGGCAAATAATCAGAGCAGTGACGAGTGAAGATGGTTTTTATAATGGAATTTTTAAAAGTTCCTCGACACTTAATGTAACAGAGCAGTTTTTAATGAAACCATCTCCTTGGATATCTCTGCTCTGCTGTACAGTTCCCTTTCTCTCTCTCTTGACTTTCTAGTCTTTATTTCATCCCTCTTGCTGGATGACTTACAGGATCCCTCAAGGTCAGGCCAAGTTCCTGGATTTTTCCCACAATTGCAGCACAGAAAGTGTAACTCTCTGCCCTCAGAATGAACTGAAACTGGGGGTGTGCACCAGCCACAGGGAGAAAAAGACCTCAAAACCTATGTTTTTACTTTCAATCTTTTTTTTTCAGCTGAGGCTTTGTGAAAATACAGAGCCTGGAGAAAATCACAGCAATTTCAAAGTGATTAAATACTCAACAATTCTGAGATCCCCAGGATGTCAGACTCGGCATATTTGTAGCTGCAATGAGACTGGAGGGAACTGACTCACAGAGTGGTTTGTTGGAGAAGCCACGTGACAGAGGCTCCCTGTGGTGACTCAGAATGGAAAATGAAAACTTCCATGTGCAGGGTCAGGTTTGGTTTCTCCTTAAACAAGGACAGTTTTCTTTTGTAATACAAAATATTTGGTGTGCCTGACTTACCCAGGATCCACATGCTTTGCAAACCCTGGTCCTTGTGGGTGTTGCATCACGTGTCTGACCGAAGGGTGATTGTGGGATGTTGGAATTATGGGGGGAATCCTCAGGTGAGGGAAGTTTTGTTCACTTGGGTTAAAATCTGCTGCTATAGATACCCATGGATATGTCCTTTCCCTACCCTTCTTAAATTGTTGTGTCAGCACAGGAAAACTCAAGCATCAGAAGGGCTAAATCTTAAAAGGTGGAGATGTTCAAAATTGGACAGGGACAGAATCAAGTGTCTCGGTCCAAAATTGCTGAGAAAGAATTTGTGGGTATAAAGAACTTGTATAAATAATGGGGTTTTGCTGCCCTTGCCTGCCTCTGTGGTGTAAAATAGCAAGAATGTAGATTTATGTCAAAAATAGAGATAACTGATGGAGAGGGGACGGTTCACACACTGAGAATACTGAACCTGGGATCTTGGATCCCACAGGAAACAGTTCCACATCCATACAGGTGTGAGTCACTTCAAAATGCTAATCAGCACTCATCCCACCTGCTCTTGTAACTGAGTAAATAGGAACAGCAGTTACTCAGGGCATATTCTGTTCAGAAATATTGGCAGTATTTAAGGGAAGCATCAGTGAGCTGGTTTGGTGGCTGTCATTCCCAGAGCAACCTAGGAGGATTTGGGCAGTTTCAACATGAGTTGAGTACCCAATTTGGATAAATCCCAGTTGCTGTTATCATTAAAACACCCAGGATTTAACAAGGAATGCTGTCTGGGTACTGTGTAAATAGGGAAGGCCAAAGCAGTGCTCACCTTGCAGAGCTCTTTGGTCCAAGAGGAGGAGAGCCAAGGGCAGAGGGAGGTGAGGTGTGGGGAGTGGAAGGGAATGCAGTAAACTGTAGCTTTGGCTTTGCCAGCACATCCAAGAAATCACTGCTTGTTTCTAAAAACTTTCTCTTGATGCACCTGGAGGGGTTTGTTTCCATTTCATCATCCTCCTGCCAGAAAGGGGTGCAGTGGAAAAGCCCCTCGAGTGGTCGGGTGGCGGGTTGGGAGATGAGACAGCCCACGCTGAGTGACCCTCCCAACCCCCGTGGAAAGTGTCACAGCAGCTTTTCACACTCACTTACCCTGCTGGCCGTTCAGGAAAATGGTGAAACCGCGGGGGTTTAACCACTGCAGGGCAGAGCTGTTGGTGCTGCTGAGGGTGCTGAAGGTGCAGCGAAGATTCAGGTCTTCTCCTTCCTTCAGAGTCACACTGGCAGCCCCTGGAAACCCCCCTGCCACAGCCCAGGGTGGGGGGAAAAAACACCTCTTAAAGGAAAGCAACGATGTTTTGTACACAGTAATACTGCAATTTTCCTTTTCTCGAGGGTTTTTCTGCACTGGGGGACTCGCCCGTGTGGTTGTACTGACGTAAATAAATCACAGTTACCAGAGAGGTCAGTGGGATTTGTACCAAAGGTTTCGTGATCAGCACAACCAGATTTAGTTATTAAATGTTATTAACCATTAAAGAATTGATAGCAGACTCATTTGATGCACTTTCTCGTTCGTTTTCTTTATTCCATTATTGGAACTCCATGATCTTTCAGTCCCTTCCAACCCAAATTGTTCTGTGATTCTGTAATTCTGTGTTTCATTGTGGAGCTGTTGAACCTGAACTACAAGTATGTGAGACTGAGCAAGGAAGGATATTTTTGCAGCACCTCTGAAAAATGAGGCTTTCTTAATTCAGAAATCATCATGCTGCAACTGCTTGGAGACTTCTTGCCAAGATAAGACCCACAAACCTGGCCTGGCACGGGTTACTAAAATGAAATTGCATTCTCTTCTCTCAGTTCATTTTACAGTAAAATGTCTTTTTTTTTTCTCTCCAGACATTCTAAGACGTATAATACATTTTGTGAAAATATTTGACCTGGAATGAATTACCTTCTCCAGAAAAAAAGCAAGCCCTGGAGAAATTACTAAGGGCAGTGCCTGGGTTGGAGTTAAGTAAATAGTCAGTAAGAGGGTTTTGCTTTTCATTCCCCTTTTTTTTATGTGTTTTGATTTTATTTTCCAGGTAGCTCTTTGCTGCAAGTTCCTACTGTGCATACCAGCACTGCAGTTTGGGGAAATGAATCTTTCTGGGCTCTGGGAAAGCTTTTCATGTTCTTGAAGGTTTAAAATACATCAGAAATGAAGCTTTTATAGGGCATCCTTGCTGCAACTGTTATTTTCCCCCTGGAAACAGAGGAAGGACCTGTCTCCCTGGAAGAGTTGTTTCCAGGGTGGGGGGTTTGTGGCCCTGGTGGAAGGAGGTGCAGTGTTGTTGGAGTGGTAGGGGAGAGTTCTCTGTGGTTTTCCATGGGGGGCCCTTTCTTCATCATGGTGGTTTCCTGTCACCACCAGCAGTGTGGGGTCTTTCAAATCACACCTCTGGAGGTGAGAACAGCAAGACTGAGCAAGAAATGGGGGTGGTTGCTCGCTTTTCTGAAGCAGAGCACGCGTGGAATTTCCATGGGAGCCCCTGGCTTTGTTCAGCCCATGACTCACAGGTCAAATCTTCCCTGCACAGGGGGCAGCTGGACCTGGCTGTGATCTTCAGTCACTGGGGAGTGGGAGATGCCCCTGTGCCAGCTCCAGGGGACACTTGTTCTTGTACCACGTGGATCCCACGTGGAAAAATTAATCTGGCATCCAGTACAGCAACATATCCACAACTTCAACAATTTCTTGCCAGAAATTGCAGGATGCACTGAGCAGAATAATTCATGCCTCTGGTTGCTGTTCTGAGAGCCACCAGGAAATGCACTGAGAACTCACTGCTCTGAGATGTGCACTCAGAGCAGAGCTCTCTTTGGACCTGTAGCCCACGCAGACACCCTGTCTAATGAGTTATTTTTGGCCTGCAAGTGGAGCTTGAGTTAACTGTGCTGCCCAGAGCAGACAGTGGTGGTCAGCAGATGCAGGTTCATCCTTCAGGAGTCTGGCAGTGAGGGGGGAGAGGGCTTGTACTCTGAGCAGAGGCTTCTGAGGGCATTAGCAAATTGTCAGCAGGAGCCCTGCTGTGGTTCCTGCTCCAGCATCTGGTAAGGAGGGAGAGGGACCACACATTTGTTTCTCCTGCAAAGCTCAGGAGTGAAGCCTGCAGGGATCCTGAGCAAGGATCACTGTCTTGCTGGTTTTTTTTTTTCCTTAAATCTTTCCCTGTCTGACACAGTCAAATATGAATCTCTCACACCTCTCCTGTGCAGACAGGAGATTAGCAAAGCAGGTATAAGCTACATCCTCCAGCAGGAGCGAGGAGACTGAGCATTTAAAGTGCTTTCTAAATTATTCTGACTTTTATCAGCCTCTTTTTACACGATGGCATACACGGATATCCAAAAGCTGTGGAAAGTAAGCAGTGATCCACTGCCCAAATTTAAGGGAGAATCCTTGGTTACCTCAAGTATGTCACCAGCTGATAGGAGGTGACCTGGCCTCGTAGATCCTGGCTTTAGGAGTCAGCTGAGGCTCAGCATTGGGGTGACAATACCTCGCTGTCAACCAGAAAGCAACAACAGCAGAGCTGCCTGGTGTGCTGGAACTCTGGGAACAGAGCTGTCCAGGCTGGACCAAGCGCAAAGGGGAGATGGAATAAGATAACCCAGAGGGCTTACCTTGCAGGAGGAGCAGAGCCACGGCGTGCAGCACCCTGGGGACACTCATGCTGTGCTCTGGGTGCAGGCAGTGTTGGCTTCCTCTCTCTGCTGGGGCTGCTGAGCAGCAGCAGGTCCCTTTTCAGCACAGGCTGGGGGAGGGGGGCAGATTTACCATGACTTCATCCCCACCAGGGTCTCTGCCCCTTCCCTTCTGGCTGCTGTTCCACTCTGCTCTCCCCCCTACCTCACATTTCCCGTGTGTTGGCGACTGCTGAGAACTCAGTGACCTCACAGGTCCCAAAAACGAAACTGGTGGGCGACAGGATGGGGGGGATTTCACCTTGACCTCCCCCTCCAGCTCTGCCACAGAGGGGGAGCAGGAAAAGGTTAGCAGAGAGCCATGGCACAGCTGCACTGTGCCCAGGATTTAATTCCCAAAAAATGGGGAGGCACCAGGAAGGCAGAGCAAGGTCGCTTAAAAACCCATCTGGGTGGTTTAAATCCCTGGGGAAAAAAAACCCAACACGTTCTTGGGTCACTCTGCTCTTGCCCCAGGAGGTTTGTTTGGCTCTCCTTGCTGGGATCCTGGGGAAACGACGAGGGAAAGGTAATTTTGCTGGGGTGCAGGGTTGGGGACAGTGGGCAGGTCCCACAGGACTGGTGGCACAGTTTGGGTTCCCCTTGTAGGTCTGACAATTTCAGGAGTGATCTGAGACTTAGAAAACTTTCTGTGTCCCCTCAGTCTGTGATTTATCACAAGATTTATCCATGTGGTTCATGGTGTAGCCACCAGCCATGTGGTGACTGCCAAAAAGCTTTGGCACATCCTCTCCTGGGCTCTCTTTGCAACTGCCCAAAATTTAGTGTGAATGGCTATTACTGTCAAAATAAACTGAATTTAGTAAGGTAAGAATTATGGCTTAAAAGCCATGTGCACTTGCAGGATGTGGGCTTGAGGGAAGTGGACAAAATGGTTAATTATAAATGCATTACTGGGTTTGGCTTCTAATTTATCATCAGCTGTTTCCATTAAACTTTCAGGTGCAGGGAAGTGCATCATTCTATTAGTGTACCTTTGATTTACAGAAGTTATGGCTTCTGTGTTAATCATAATCAGTTTTACTGGGATACAGAGCTGCAGGTCAGGAATTCATGGAGTTTGAAAGGGAAGAGTCTCTCTGGCTGATAAAACTATTGGTGGATTAAAAAAAAAAAAATCCGAAAAGCTGAGACTCCAAACCAGAGGGAAAACTCCATCCCTGCTCGTGGAAAACCACACTCGAGATGGTTTTGTGCCATCTGCTGTCAAATGGGTGAACTTCACCATCGGCGCAAGGAATCAAAACGCGGCTCCAACTCCAACACACTCCAGAGGAAAACTGAAATAGGAAGGGTGTTTGGCATCTTTATTCAATCACCTGTGAGACTTTTTCTTTGTCCGGCTTCCGATTAATCCATTTAATGTCAGAAGCAAATTAAACCGCAGTGGTTGTTTTAAGAGTTGTTAGCACTTGAAATTGAGATTAAAAACAACCAACCACCCTCCCCCTCCCCACCACCACCACCTCCCACCCCCAAAATAAAAAAATACAGATGTCACAGGTAATTACAGCTATTTTTGGCAATACAATTATTGTGGTTTTTTTTTTTAAACAGCAAACAACATTTTTTTCTCAAATAAATACAATCTGCTCACACTAAAAAAAAAAAAAAACAAACCAAACATAATAAACAGAATGATACAACAGGTTGAAAATGAAACACCAAAAAAGTTGATAACATCAAGTTTGACCAGATGTCACCGAGAGAAACTTCAGAAAATACATCTGAATGGGAAATAATAAAGGAACTGGCTGTGTATTTTGTGTCAGGAAGCATGTGCAGGTCACAAATATTCCCCAGGGAACAAGTATTTGAGGAAGTGGTGAGCAGTAAGTAGCAATTTAGGGTGTTTGCAGCCAATCACACCAACTGCTTAATTATATTTATTTTCTTCATTGACTCACCATTTCAAGCATGTCTGCCCCCACCATCGTCTCATGTGTATTTTTAACTTTTAAAATAATTTCCTGTGTGCTCAGGCTCTCTTTCTCTTTAAGAAACAAACCAAACCACAAACCAAACTCATTCTTTGGTGATAAAAATTATCACTCTCACAGTAACACTGACACTAAAATCCAATATCAGAGGGGAGAAGGAGGCTCCTGCCCTCAGCCAACTTCTTCCTGAAACTGCTCAGTCTGAGAGAAAAGGGAAATAATTATGGTTTTTTTTAAGTTATTATGGTCTGGATCCTCAGTTTGCATAAAAAAGCAAAGCTCTGTGATTTCAGTTTACAACGTCAATTTGACTCTTTCATTTTCCTAACTCACCCCCTAAGTTGCAATTCACAAAAACAATTGGGTTAACAATTTATTCTTGGCAGCTTTATTCCTTAATTAGGGAAAAAGCTGGGAACTATTTGCCTCCTACAACCTGATGAAACCGTTGGGATCTGATGCAGCTCAAAGTGAAGGCAAGGAAAAGACAGAGATCAAATTCAAGCCTAAATCTAGGATAAAACACTGGAGTGACTTAAATACACGTTAAAGAGCAGCAACGGAGTGAAAGTGAAGCAGCAATTGTCTTGTACCCTTAACTTCTCAATTAAAAATTTAAAAGGAACAAATTTTTATTCTTTTTTTCCCCCCACAAATAAGCCTTACCAACGTGAGACAACACAAAACCCCAAAGAGAAATCAAAATGCTAGAAGAAAATAAGATTTTTCTTTCTTTCTTGACACTTAATTCGAGACAAGACTACAGTTGTCAAAATACTTTCCCAAACATCCAAAAATATACTTTTTTTTTTTTTTTTTTTTTAAAGAAGAGAGTATTTTACCACTACCTTCTCCAACAAAACATTCTTCTATATTACTATATGCAAAGAGCAGCTTGTACATTGTTCAAGTTGTGCATTCAGGTTTTTGTTCCCTCTCTGTTTCATGCTTCTGCTTAAGAAAAAAAAAAAAATCTTCTTTTAATGTCACTTAACTGCAGCAGGGCCTGAGCAGCCTCCACTGCTTTGTACAGGCAATAGATATTATAACATAATACTATTTATTGCCCAAATTACATCTTGCTGGCCCCCAGCACGAAACAAAAAAGCAACCTGGAGAATTCCACGTCAGGAACCAAATTTATTGTGGTGTGATTGTCAACTACTGAAGTTTTTAAGCATGGAGGAAAACAAGCCAGAGATGCTCCTCAGGATGTCTGTACACAGCCCAAACCAGCTTAAATTACAATTAAAAATTAACCTGACAGTGATAAACCTGGCCAGGAGCAGTTTGCTCTGTCACCTCATGAATTATCTCCCTGACTTTGCAGTTACATCCCTGCTTTAATAATGCACTTACAAGTGGCCCACGGTGTGATACACAGTCATAAAGGTATAAATCCCAGAATATTCCCGTGGAGACGGTGGCAGTGGACAGGATTTTGCACAGGATGAGCTGGAAATACGTACAGGATCTGGTGTTCAAGCCCCACAAACCCAGGGACAAGCTGAGCTAAACCCCTTCGGGTCTGCTGCCTCCCAGTTTTGCCTCCTTTAGGAAGAGGGAATTGCAGTTTGTGCCTCCTGCTTCGTTCTGGCTGCTGGAAGGGCAGCTTGGCTGTGTCCTAGTGGAGGGGAGAGCAGTCCTGCTGAAGGCTGGAGAGCTTAAAATAAATCACCACAAAGCCAGCTCCGATCTGTGAGTATCAAACCTACATCAAATTCGACCTGTGTGCCACTCACTCATCACAAATGAGGGCTCTGACACTTTCTGCAGAGGAAAAGCAGGACAGGAGGATGCTGGAATGTCTGTCTTGGTACATCTGAACATCTTTTTGATGCTATTTTTTGTTGTTACTTTGTTTTTACTCTTGGTTGCCCAGTGAAATGGTTGATGCCCCAGCCCTGGAGGTGTCCAAGGCCAGGCTGGATGTTGGTCTAGTGGAAGATGTCCCTGCCCATGGCAGGGGGGGTGGAATGAGATGAGCTTTAAGGTCCCTTCCAGCCCAAACCACCCTGGGATGATTCTGTTTCTGGGAATACTCAGATTTATGGCTCAAACCAAGAAAGGGCTTTGCCTAAATCTCTTTCATCCCACTTCAACACATTTTTAAGTACCTTCTGACAGTGATGAGATCCATACAAGTGTCTGCAGCAACATTTTCATCCCAGGCTGATGACTTAGATAATTCTAATCCAAAAAAAAACCCTGTGCTCTGATGCCACTTTATTCTCTAAACTACCCACTCTGGTGTATTTTGCACTCTCCTGTGACACAGCTGGGATTGGAATCCTGCAGGATCTTGCACCAGGAGGACCCCTCTTGTGATTCCAAAGATTTTAGTTGAAGATGGAAACTCTCCTCTACCCCTTCTCCCAGAATCCTAACCCTTCCCCCACTGGATAAATAGCATTTTAATAGGTCAAAGCAAGTTGCTCCTAAATTTAAGTGTACTGGGTTGTTTTGGTTTTTTTTTTCAGCTGCTTTGTGTTTATGACAGATGGCACTTGGGAATTAAGGATGAGGAATCAAAGCACTGAATTCCAGCATCTTTTTGAGTCCATCATTACCTCCTGGAGAAAGCTGCTTACTGCAGAATCTCACCAGGGTTGACAAAAAAAAAAAAAAAAAATCAGCTCCCAAGGGACAGAAAGCCACCCCTGTGTAAATGAGCAGCACAAAATCTCAGTATAAAAGGGAAAAGCCTTTTCTGAAGGGAACTGAAATGGCATAAATGCTTTAGGCTGTGTCTGTGCACAAGGGTGGATTTTAATAACCAAAGTAAAGGGAAAAAAACCACCCAACCCTGAACTTTCTAAGCCCTCCAGGTTCGGTTGAAATAGGCTTATTTTATCTCCACTTAAAAGAAGCTGCTCCCAGTCTTTGTTCACAACAACTTTTGATGCTCAAACTTCATCTGTAACTGATGGGAAATTTGGGATTGTCCTGCAGTGCAGATCAACATCCATCAATCTCTGCATCCAGCACAACCCCCACCACAGTGCTCAGACAGAGGAGAGGAACAACCTGCTGCTGGACCCTCCTTTGCAGCTGGTGGTGATGGAAAAAGGTGCTGAGAATTTGGGGGCTCACACGTGGTGCTGAACAAGCCTGCTAATGCTCTGCAAAACAGCAGTGAAATAAAAACAAACCCCAGCCCCAGCATCCTGAATGCTCCACTGACACAGTGCTACTTGTTCCTAACGGGGTGCAGATGGCAGTGAAAGCGTCCCCAGAGCTCCCTGCCAGGTGGGAGAACGGCTCAGCACAGGCTCTGGGGCTGTGCAAGACCTTCCAACCTGTATTTTAATACCTTTTTTTTTTTTTTTTCTCTCCCCCCTCCAATCAGTCCCCTTTTTTTGTATTCTAGTTGTGGATGAGACTCTTTGCGTGACTGTGGCTGTGGGAGATAACGCCAGAACAGCTGCTTGTGTGACCCCCCTGGGCATGGTATGACTATTTTTCCACTGTCAATGAAACACAAGAGAGAAGAGACATTCTCCAACGCTTCCAAAGGCCATGGGTTGGGTTCTCCTGGCTGGGGTGGCTTTGCCTACTCCTGTAGTAAGGTTTCCCTCCAGTTAAAGCCTCCAGTTGGTCCATGTGTGAGAGGGAGGATGGGGGGGTCTGTGAGCTGCCAAACACCCGTGTCCCCCAGTTCTTCACAGGAACAAAACCCCAAGTATGGAATCTGTGGGAAGAGAGATGGAAAAAAAAGCAGGGATTGAGCTGAGCTGCCCTCAGGGGTGATGTCCTGCTGTTACCACTGAATCATTTCACCACCTTCTCTCTTTCCCCTTCTCAGAGGGGGATTGCAGGGCTCAGGTGTGACAGACAGACTGTGCCCCTTTATGTGTGCAAAGCTCTGGCAAAGACAGATCAGAGCCTTGTATTTTGGTTTAAATACAGGCCAGTTCACACCAAAAGTGTTGGCTAACGTGGTTCCCAAACCCTGAAGGCCAGCACAGCTATGCAGGAAAACATGGACCCTACAGATTAGAATATCCCAGTGAGACCTGGCAGTGCCCTGGCAGTGCCCTCTCCCTGGGCAAGGCTGGAGGAAAGGAGTGAAGGTAATTAAAAAAAAAGAAATTATAATTTTCAGTCCTTTCCTATGACAGTGAGTGAGATGAGAAGGGGAAGTGCAGCTCAGAAGTGCCCTGGTCACTGTGGTGAGGGTGTTTTAGGCACTGTGGGAGTCTCTGGTGCCTACAAAGCCACACAGGAGTCACTGCCAGCCCATCTGGAGGTGGGCACCTGATCCCACACCGCTACAGCAGTGCCGCTCTCGCATCATCAGCCCCTCAAACCGACCTTCTGCACTCCCCTGAGTCCTGAAATGAGTGGAACTCGGGCACAGCAAGGTGTCCCTGCCTGGCTGAGCAGATTCCAAACTGCTTTTCTCTCTGCAGAGCCCGAGCTTTGCTCCTCGGTGGGAATTACCTTTCGGACCATCTGCACGAAGTCCTTGGAGTTCTGTGGGGACAGCCCTTGGAGCTGGCAGGTACAGGCCTCCAGGGAGGATGCATGGGCCACTATCAGGATGTTATTTCCTGAAATACAGGGAGAAACACTGGTTTAAGAGGCAGGTGGAGCCAAATTTAGGTCCCAGTGCACAAGATCAAGCAGATTATTGGAAAAAACAGTTTCAACTTATCACGTAACAACACATCAAGCTGTGTATTAGGGAGAAAAAACGTGATTTATTAACGTATTTAGAGCATTTCTCAATTTGCAGGATAATGGTTGGCTCGGTGCTGCTTAATTTTAGATGCTTTCTGAAGGAAAGTGAGATTTCAGCTGTTCTTGTCAGGCAGGTGCTTTTTGCCTACACAAACACGGACTCCTGTTACAACCAACACTTTAATTTCTGTTGCTGCTTTTCCACTGTGGTAATTTTACGTTTCCATTTCCAAGAGCCTTTACAAGCAACGCCCCACTGTGCCATTGCACAGTTCTGTGTGCAAACCATTAAAGTAAAAGCTTCGAGTAAAATCAGTGAGATGAAATGAGTAGAAACACCAGAGCTTAGACACAGCCTATTTCTATGGTGTGAACAAAAAAAATAACAGCTAGAGATTTTTTAAATCTCAATATTGCGTTTGGAGAAACGTTTTAAGGTCTTGATGGGGGATAACTCTCAGAGGAGGAGCTCAGATAGGGGAGGGAAGATGCCCCATCTGATTCTGGGGGGAGAGATAGCAGAGTGCAAACAGCTCATTTATTCCCTTGGGTTGGGTAGGAACTCCTAAAATACCTTATTAATTGTGTTTATGGGCCTTTCTCATCAGGTGAATGCATTTCAGCTCCTAGTTCTGACACTTGCAGCGTCTCTGGGAGAGGGAGGGGGGATTCAGGCATGGGAATTTCCCCCCCTTTAGGAGGGAAAGGCTGATTAGGAATATTGGCATTCACATCCCAGCCAGCCTGGCTGGTTTTTTTCACCCCCTCTGCTGCACTTACCTTTGCCTTTACATTCACTGATGATCTCCTTTGTTACTTGGTAGCTTCTACTTATGTAGGTGTCATAAGATTCAGAAACCACCAACTTGCTGACAGGAATATGAGGTCTGTGAGCAGAACAAACACACACAGTAAACTGGAGGAAGCAATAAAGTTTGAAGTGCAGGTTATGATTCATCTCAAAGTATCTGTTCTTTAACTCTCCTCTTTCCCTAAGCCCTCAGAACTTGTGTCAGGACCTCTGTGATGGTTTTTAAGCTCCGAGAATGAGATGTTTAACGTTCTGCTGTGAGGTAGTTGGGGGAAAATGATAATTGTTTCCTCTGATGGGCATCACTTGGTGAAGGCAGCTGGGTGGGCTCCTGTTCCTCCTGCAGTGGAGATGTTCCTTTGTGTTTCTTTAGGCATGTTTGTGGAAAAAATTCCTTACTGTGAGGGTGGGGAGGCCCTGGCACAGGTTTGCCCAGAGAAGCTGTGGCTGCCCCATCCCTGGAAGTGCAACCCCTGTGTATTAGCTGAGCCCAAGCTCCTGAGTTTTAGGAAAAGGCTTAAACCAAAGAAAAATCCTGGAAATCTGAGAAACACCCAGGACAAAAGGAACGCTGGAAAGAGGACCTTGCCAGCGATGTGGAAAACTTGGTTTCTAATAAGCCATTTTCAGGTCACGCTCAGCCCAGCAGCACTGCCTAAACTTACAAAAAGACCCTTTCCCCGCTCTTTTCTGCTACCTGTAGGTTGTATCAACGCTTAGAGTAGCTGCAGCTAAATCCACAGGGGGGATCCAGGCAGGTAGTGTGTTCCCAGAGACCCACTTGGTCCACTCGAACAAGCCTGGCTCTATTCGGATTTTCAGGTTGTTCTCCTGTTGCATACCTGGAAAAGGGGGAAAAGAGGCCAGGGATCAATGGAAGCAGCTGGGGAGGAAGGCAGAAAGACTTGGCAGCTTTAACACTTCAGTTTGATTGTTCACGAATGGTTTTAATCAGTCGATTAATAATGGATATGGAAGATGAAATATTTAATCTATGCACTTGACAGAGGATATGCCAGGGAATGCAAACCTCTGGCTGGCAGCTACATGCAATCAAAAAAGGGTTCTTTTTGTGCTGGTATAAAATATATTCCCATGCAGATAATCCTCACCCTGAATTCCCATCCCCTCAGGTCTCCCATATCAGCGTTTCACCCAGACAGTGAGAGGAACTCTGTGGGTTCTCACCTTTCAGGATGTTGTGTGCTGTCTGCACACACCTCAGGGATGGGGAGCTGTAGATGTAGTCTACAATGGTGTTGCTTTCTAGCAAGGCTTCACCTGCAAGGAAGTTTTACCTCCTGTGAGTAAAATGAGACAAGTGGCACTGCAACATCGACAGCAGTGGTGCAGCCACCCAGCCAGGAGCTGCTCAGGTCCTGCCAAAAAGCAACCAGTGTGCTCAGAGGGCTTGGGTTTGATTTCATGTCGTTTATAAGCCGTAAATCAGAGCGATTCAACAAAACTCGAACCCAGATTAATTCAACTGGCTCCACTCCTCTCTAGTATAAATTACCATTTCATTACACAGGTGGGAGAGCACCGAAAATGAGATAAGAATCAGCTCCACTATCAGGGTTATTAATATTCCTGCAATGCCTAAGGGGACCAAAGGAGAACAGGGATCTGCACAGGCTCGTAGGAAGCAAGAATTACATTTTTGCTCCGTTTGAAGAGGCAGGACAAAGGAGTGGGAGCAAGCAGGGGTCGCTGACCTCGTCTCCAGTGGCTGTAACCACGTCAAGATCTGTAAATCTCTCGAGAGAAGAGGGGTAATTTAGAAGGAGAAGGGTAATTTAGGAGGGATCTACCACCCCTCCCTCAGGGGGAAGCTGCTCTTTGGCTCCAGCACCACCAAGGTCACACCTGCAGCTGCAAGTCGTGCCCTCAGCCCCCTCCAGTGCCACCAGCAAAGTGTGCTCTGGCTGCTGCCATGTGCACCCTGCAAACCCCGGTGCCACGTGGAGCCCCAGCACCCTGCTGCTGCTGCACTGGGATTTATTTTGGTTTAAGGAAGCAAGTGTAATTTTAGCTGCCCTACTTTGGATGCGACCAAGGGGAAGCGCCCTGGAGGAGCTGAAGCTGAGGGAGTGCTGAGCACTGAGGCTCCCCTGATCACAGCACTCAGCACGTGCTCTTTGGCCACCAAATGGTTTTGTGCCTCTGCACAAAGTCAGGGACGGGGATGGAGAGGGGGCTGGGAGAACACTGGTAATAATTTCGACTTAATAATTTATGGTTTTGACAACATAAAGCCGGGAAGCTTGATAAAAGAATATTGGTGAGGCACGAGAAGATTGTGGAAGTCAAGGCAGAAGCAGATTTTGCACGAGGGGGCTGTCACACTGCTGCTTTTCTCCCCAGCACTGGCAATAACAGTGTATTCCAAATGCACCCATCCTGCTGACAGCTCCCATTCCATCCCATGCCCCAGATTTCCTGCTTTGCCTTCTCCTCAGCTGCAGCAGCTGAAGGAGAAAAGGTTTCCTTTGGAAGAGGGAAATTGCTGGGGAAGGAGGAGGGACTTTGTAAAGCTCCTTGGAACGCCAAAATCCCATTTGTTCAGGGCACCCAATTCATCTTTGATTGCCTGGCACTTTATCCTTCTCTTGGCTGGGTGTGTGGGAGGAAAGACAGCAAAGCCTCCTGGGCAGGCTCTCCACAGGATCATGGAATGGTTTGGCTTGGAAGGGACCTTAAAACCCACCCAGTCCCACCCCCTCCAGGTTGCTCCAAGCCCTGTCCAACCTGGCCTTGGACACTTCCAGGGATGGGGCAGCCACAGCTTCTCTGAGTTCAAGGCAGAAGAGTTGCACCCCAAAATTTCCACCTCTTCCCTGTGCTTCTGTACCCCTCTACGCCCTCCCACAGGCAAGAATTTCTTCCTAATATCCCATCCAAACCTCCCCTCCTTCAGCTTGAAAGCTGTTTTCCGAGGGGGACTCACCAACCAGCCTTGCCTGTGTGCAGCCCAGCACGGTGATGGGAGCGTCCTTCTCATAATCCCTGAATCCACCACTTCTCTGAGGTAAATTGTGAGGCATATTCAGGTTACTGCGCATGTACCTTCCTGGAGGGAAAGGGTCCAAGCTGGAATTATTCCTTCAGAGGGACACAGAAGCATCACACCTTCTCCTACCCTCTCCCACCACCCACATCCCTGCAGGTGCTGCCCAGACCTGGCTCTTGAGCAGTTTTCCCCAGGTAAAACCACCAGGGATCTCCCCAAATTAAGTGAAACAGCAGCATCCTCTGCTTTTAAAGTTACCTTTAGCACAGGTTTCCCCCATGGGAAAACAAATTCTGTCCCACAGCAGAAGAAACCCTGAGTGTTACACTCTTAAAGGAGGCTGAAATGTCAGAGTTCTTCAGCCAGAAGTTGGAAAGAAGGCAGTCGTGAAATCATCCTTTGGCTACAAGATATTGATTTCTATGTTTTAAATATAAAAAAGGACTTTTTGGACAAATTTCTGATCAGTTCCAGTGCCAACAGAGCCTGGAGTTACAGTTTAATTAAAGTCTGAAATCAAGCATATTACTGGGTTGAAAACAGCAGTTTTTGCCCCAAAAGCCACTCTGAGCTGTACCTGTAGTGGGGTTATTTTCATTTAGCACTGAGAGCCAGCTGTACAAAACATTTTCCTGATGGCAGTGAATGTTTTTCCTGAACACTGATTACTAACATCATGGCTGCATTTGTTTCTGCTTCTGACTGCAGCCCTGCCACCCCAAAAAACATCAATCTGTGTCAGGAAACCGCAGGTTCTATCTAAGATTTGCCCCTCTCCTTCCTCCCTCTCAAAGCTGGGAGACCCCAGAGCAGACTCACCTTTGGCATCAAAACACTGGGACAACCAGTACTTCCCAAAAACCACATCCATCCTTTCCCCGTGCCTGCAGACAAACAGGCAGCGCTTCTGAGGCCCTGGATGGCTGCTTATCCTCAGGGGCTGGAAGGGAAATCACAGGATATTTGACCTTCATCCAAGTGCAAGGGGTTTGCTGAGATCTGGGAGTCAAAAGCAGGCACTTCTTGCTTTGCCCACTACGGGAAAGTCTTCTGTATTTATGATTTTTTTATGGAATTTATGAAACTCTTTATAATATTTATAATATTGGTGAATTTATGGCGGTGTAAAAACTGCTGAAGGGAGCACCCCCTCTTAAGAGCCAGTTTGGGGACAGCAATGTCTTCAATTAAGAAGACATTGTGGTTAACTGTGGTTAATTGTGCCATTCAAAAGCTTGCAGAGAACTTGAGCTGCAGGCAGTGAAAAGAGACGAGGTGATAGGTTTGTTTTGGTTTTTTTTTTTGTTTGGGAAAACCCAGTGGCTGGAAGCTTGTCCCTAAGGCTGTGTGTGATTTAGGGGTGTGGGGGTCCCTACCTGCACGTTCTGGCAGATGATGGTGAGTGGCCCTGCATCCCCAGGTCCTTGGTCCTCCTGCTGCCTTCTCTCCAGAGCTCCATCCACGAAGCCTTGAAGGGATGGGGAGGATGTGGTGTTCAGAATGGAGTAGGACCTGCCAAAATCAGGAGGATGCTGTTGGCTTTGGGAATGCTTGGTGTGCTCAGGCCGCTCTGAGGGCATTTCTGCAGCCCTCAGGAGCTGCTGATAATTGCTGCTGTCACGTTATTTCGTTATTAGTCGTGTTTTATTCCTGTTTGTGCCCAGAGAGAGCACCTTGCTAAGTGATCTGCACGCATGAAAAGACAAATTCCATCTCAACAGGCTGTTTCCTTGGAAACAGTTTACGGAACAACAGCTCCCAAAACTTCGGTCTGCGAGGCTCTGAATATTCTCATGCAAGTGCCACGACCTTCCTCATCACCACAGGATGTTCCCTAACATCATCTGGGGACCAGCTGCATGTCACTGACCGTGGTCTTGTGGATCAAAATTCGGGGACTGAAGCCTGCAAGGGAGTTTTCCCTCACCTTTGCAGCACAAGCTGTTGCTGGGGCTCAGCCCTGCCTCTCCCCCTGGGCACAAAATAGCTCCTACCCCCTGGCAGGGACCTGCCACTGTCAGCTTGGGTTGTGGTTTCCACATTTTCCAGTGCTGATTATCCTGGTTTTTCCCTCCATGGGAGTTTGTTCTCACCAGTGCTCCCAGTTCAGTGCAGCCAAATGGAGGTGACAGATCCCACTCTGCCTCAAGGGCTTTATCTCTAATGACAGTGCCCCTGAATAAAGCCCAGACATTGAAGGATTTTGACCAAAACCCTCAGGACTAAACCCTGACAGGCAATTACAGAAGCTGCAGTGCCCCTCTGCTGACTCAGCACATTGGATGGGTTACCTTTGCTTAGTCATTAAGAAAAGAACATCATCAGGTAATGTATGTGGCCATTTGCTTTGACAGAAATAGCTGCTGGTGACTGCACTTTTCAGTGCCTTAAATATGTCAGCAGTTGCTTCCTGATGGCACCTAGTTAGGATAAAATCTCGGAGGGGCTCCACAGCTGTTAAAATAACACTGAGTGCCTCTGCCAGGAGGAACAAAAATGGGTCACCTGCATTTTTGTTAAGAGCTGATTTGTGAGATCATACCATTTGCACCAGTTTAAAGGAGAAAAAAATGCCACTTTGTTGGTCCTGAGAGTTTCTCCAGCCTTCAGAACTGACCTTGTAGTTTATTTTAACTGTTTTTATTTTAATCATGCTGAGTTTTTCCAACAGGGGCCGGCCCTCCTCCAAAGAACTTTTCCTCTCAGGCAAAGGTTCAACACAGATCCATCCTCCCTGACCCCAAAACTTGGTCTCTCAATATGAGAAGAATCTCAGTTTCTTAGCCAGACCCATCTCTATTGCTGCACAAAGTGAATCTTCTTCCAGCCTTTCATCCTGCCTCAGCCCTTTCCTGCTTTGCCCACATGACATTTTTTTAAGGACACTGGTCTGGAGAACCCTAAGAATTTTTTGGCTGCCTCTCTTCCCTTTGCCCCCAGGAGCTGCCACACAATTTCTGAGACTTTCTTTTTTCTCTAAGCCCTTACTGAAAGGCCACAAATGCTTCAGCACCTATTTATAGATGGGAATGATGATGAGGCAAAGGCACCCTATCTTGCTGTGCCTGGAGAGGAGCCACCAGCTTGTCTTCTACCTCCTTCACGCTGCTGGAAAACAGAAACCACTGAAGCTATTTCAGCTCAGTCATCTTCTAAGCATAGGTCATTGTTTGGAAGCTTTTCCCAAAGGGAAAAAAGGAGGCAAACAGAGGTTGAAGGCAGACAACAACATCCCCTGTCTTCTGGATGATGCCTTGTCCTCACTGCTCTGTCAGGGATATCACTTTGTCCTTGGAGGCAACAGGAGAAGACCCCTTGGAGAGTGGAGATGGTTCAAGCAGAGGATGGAGGAAGGGTCTCTGTCACAGCTGGCCCTCAGCTCTGGGTAGGAAAAGACTCCTCTGCCACATCCCTCATCACTATCCAGAGGAGAGGGATCGCTGTGGAAAATGAACCAGCCATTGCTGCAGGACAGGAGGAAGAAAGGGGGGGAAAAAACCCTCCTCAGGTCCAAATATAGCTGGAAAAATCAGGGCTGTTCTCCCTCCCCCTGGCACTTGTGCCAAGTCTGATTTCTCAGGGCTATTAAAGGGGCAAGGAATGGCTTTGGCATCTCACGAGGGGCTGGAATAAACTGTGGTGTAACATCCACAGCACTCCTGGCCTTTTTGGGGCACAGGAAGGGACTATTTCTGGCTTTGCTGGTAATGGAAAAGCAGTGCAGGGAACCATCCTACCATGAGTACCCTGGTGGGTTGTCCTTAGTTTGCTGTATGGCTTTGGCCACATGACATTCCACAACCTGATATTCCCTGTGGGGAGCCCCTGTGTAAGAGGAGACTTCTTCTGGGTGTGTCACAGTGGTTTTGGTAAATGCTCAAGCACTATTTTTTTAATCACTGTTTATTAACTAATTCCCACCAAAATCAAGAGGCATAAGGCATAATCTCATTCAAAAGGTGAGGGCTGCACTCTCACTGAAGCCTTCTGAAAAAATCTTGCTAAGTACCCTAAGAAATGTTGCTGATCCCAAATCCTTTTCCACAGAAGACGTCCCTTCCCAAATCAACGCTCAGATTTAAACCTTCCTGCTCCTGGCCCCACCACAGAGATGTCTCCACAGCAGTGCCTGCAGCAGCCATCTGCTCCAGCAGTGATCCTACGAGTGATAAATAGCTGCTGTAACATCTCAGCCAAAAAAAAGTCCCACTGTCCTCTAATCCCACGCCCGGGGGCAGCATCTGCTCCTCTTGGCTGCGCGGACAGGGCTTTGTGTGCCAGCTCCTTTTCCCCCAGCGACCTTCCCAGCAGCCCTGCGAGCCTCCTCACTCACCCAGGTGAAATCCCAGCAGCTTTTTTACCCACCCGTGGAACACCCAGGTGCCGCACTCGTCCGCCTTGGTGATGTAGTTCTCGGGCAGCAGCCCCGAGCAGCCGGTTGCGAGGGAGATGCCGTAAATCCAGCCCTCGCTGGTGCTGGTTTGTTCCACCGGCGACATGAAAATGAAATCCCCCGGCACCAGCTCCAGCTCGTCGTCGTTCTGGGGGGTGTAGGGGTAGATCACTTGCAGAGTCTGGGGGGGAGAAACCGAAGGGCAAAGGGGTGAGAGGGTTGTTAAGGGAAGGGCGCCACACCTTTAACCCCAGCAAGGTGTGAACAGCTCTCCTTGTGTTTCATCCAGGAAAGCTTCCCTTCAGAGAATTCCTGCTGCTTCCCCCTCTTTGCTGTTGGGAAGCTTCTCTAGGTACTGGCTCCTTCTTCCCTCTTTGATTCCAGTTGCATCTTTGATAACCAGGAGGGAAAGTGAGTGGGATGATTTTTTACAGTGAGCAAAATCATGACTGCGTGCTTAAACCTGTTGAAAATGGAACTGAATTCTTGTTGGGATCTGGAATTTAGACAGCTCTGGTGGTCAGTGACCATTTTTGATTTACCTACACACGTTTGATCTGAAAGAGCAGCTCTTGTTGCTGTTGCTTTTGAAGACAGGGCAGAGATACTCTTGGGAATCTGGGACCTGCTGCTCCCAAAGCTGTTCATGGGACTGCACAGGAAAAAACCACAGGTGATTAGAAAGGCTGGGATGTGGCCACACTCTTTTCTTTGTATTTCCTGACATGAGCAGGATTAAGTAAAAGGTGGGAGAAAGATGAGTGAGTGTAGGTCTGTGATCTCCACTTGAGCATGAGGAATCCACATGTATTAAATGCCTACCATTAAATTTCCTTGGAAATGGCTGCAACAGTCCCCAATTTAAAAGGGGAACGGTCGTGTTCTTGACCCTTGGCCACGAAAAACTTCTGCATCGTTGCAGAAGAGAAGAAAACCCCTCATCTGCTGAGCAGCTCTGCTGTCCTGGTGGTGTCAGCCCTCACCAATCCTTCCAGACTGCATGTGGTATCTTCAGAGGAAGATGGAAACCAGTCACTGTCACCTGACATCACAAGGCCCAAACTTTCACACGTGGCTGCCTGAAGTGAGATATGCAAAGATGGAGCTGGGTTTCATCAGCAACTGCCTTTGCCATCAGCAATAGTGTTGTTGACTGTGTGATGCTTCTGAAGGACACAGGGACTCTCTGGATAGGGAAGGAGGTTGTCACACGTGGAAGCACAGCCTGGGCTGGGTCAGAGACGTGTCAGCTCTCCAGGAGCCTTGGTATTTGTGTGAAAACCAACTTTTTCCCACTCTGCCACAGGTTTTGGGGGTCTGGCTGTGGGCAGTGCACCTTGGTGGGGCTGATCACCCCAACCTTAGGAGCTGAGTTAAACACCCAAACTGAGCAAGCACCTTCTGGAGGTTCCCTCCCCCAGACACTGATTCATCCTGAGACAGACATCTCAGATGGGTCAGATGTCTCGTGTTCTGGAGGTGCCTGTTCCTCTGCACTGAGCCTCAGACTGCAGGTCTCACTTGGGTATTTACAGTGAGGTGAGATGAATCTCACGTGTGGTTTCTCAGTGCCCAAGATCCCAATCTGCAAAATGGAATTATTTTTCTGTGTGTTATGTGGAAAACAGCATTATGAAGGAAACTGTCTTAAGAGATTTAAATACTGCAGTTACAGAATCCATATGAATAATTGTAATATATGAGGGTAATTATTTCTTACATGATGGAACTAAGTGCTGTGGTTAATAATAAAGTCCAGGCTGTACAGTAAAACTGGATACTGGTCAGGTTAAAATACTGGTCTGGTTCTGGAGAGATCAGACCAGTTTATGTCGAGCTCACAGGAGAGTCATTATTAGAATTAATTAATCCAGCAGGACACTGTTGCTGCAAGAAGCAAGGGTTGAGGTGGGTGAAACAGCAAGTCTGGACAGCACGAGCAAAAAGAACAGGCAGGAAGGTCTGTTTGTTCAGATGGCTGGTTAGTCTGGGTTTCTCTTCTGAGACAGAAAAGTTTGGGTTTCTTGTCTGCAGAACTTTACCTCGTGGTTAACGAAGCGAATGTCTCGGGAGAAGATCGCGGCCACCCAGTCACAGCCCAGCTTGACATCGATGTTCTGGGCCAGCTTCTCCAGCGTGGGCAGGTGGCTGCTCTGGAAGTGATAGGCCAGTGTCACGTGGAGCTGCTTCTTGTGGGGCTCCACGTGAACATCTGCAAGGAGAAGACGTGGGTGAGCGACCCCTGAGTGCGAGGTGAGCGGTGATGGGAAAGGAGGAGAGAAAATATCACAAAAATTGCCAGGAGCTGGGCTTTGGAAGACACTCTAGAGGAACAGACTGCAGGGCACTTTGAACAGGCTCCGAGGAAGCCAAATGTGGGCTCTCTGTATTGCACCTCGGATCAAATTAATCAAATTATTAGAGGTTTTTGGGCTGGCTCAGCCCTGAGTCACAGCAGGGTGGGAGACAAGGCTGCCCTGCCCAGCTGCCCAAAAACAGGTTTCTGGGTGGTGTGGTAACAGCTGCTGCCCTTCTGAACACACTTCCCAAAAAAACCAGACATTTTTCCAGGTAACTTGGTAGGCTTTCCTGAGCAGCTGAGGATCTTTCCAAAATAAGCAAGTGAAAAAGCGTAATTTTTACTCTCCCTCCTTTGTTCTCTCTGCCACAGCAGCAATTACAAATCCATGGAATCTACAGGTTCATGCAGGTTGATTAAATCTTTTCCCTGGGCATTAGTTGGATTACCAGTTTAGCCACTGAGGGCGAGGTATTCCCAGATTGTGGAAACAGACATTGATATAATAATGATTCAAAATGATCCTGCAGGAAAGATAAAAAAAAAAAAAAAAGAACCTGCATTAGGAAAAGAGAAAGGTGAGAGTGTGTGAAATATTGTGACTCTTCCAGTAGATGTGGAAATCATAGGATACATTGTTTGCATGTAATTTATTCTTGCTTATTCAACCAAAAATTGCAATTAAATTTGACTGATTATTCAGTCAAAATTGCAGTTATTCAGAGACTTGGCTCCAAGTGCCAGCCAGGGGTAGCTTTGCAAGCTCATCCATCTTTTTCTCTCTTTCTGTTTTTGATAGCAATGAAAAATATGTTTTGCAAAAGCCCCAGAGACTTTAATGTGATAACCTGCCCAAGCTGTGGGGGCTGCAATGCAGCAACTGGCCTTCCCTAAAAAAAGAACCAATTCGGTCTGAATTGGAGCAGTCACAGGGGCAGAAGCTTTTAGGAAGCTGTGGGTGCTTCCTTCTTCTGGGTCAGTGTTTTTTGGGGGTAAGAATTGCCCCTCTGGCTGGAGGGTGTGTCTGGGGAACACTTTGGAGGGGAATATTTGTCCCTCTCTCACGTGGCTGCAGCCTCCTTGGACCTGCCCAATGTCTCTGTGCCTGTCACTGCCTAAAAATGTGCATTTTAAAGATAACATTCCCTCCCTCTTCTAAAGGGAAGGAAAATTCTGGGTCATTGTTGGGTGAAAGCAGGGGCAGAGACTTGTAGCTGTTCTGGATGGTTATGGGATGCCTGCCTAGCAGGAAACACCCCAGGGATGCAGAATTTGCTGCATCTTGATGCATTTAAGCTCCAGATTAAGCCTGTGACAGTGAAAGGCTAAACCAGTCGTGCTGTGACCAGCCCAGGCTGAGCCCTGCAGTGATGGAGGGTGGGAGGATTAGTGGGGGAGCTGTTCCAGTGCTCCCATGCTCTTCTGAGTTTGGAGGTCACTGGGGGACACCCAAAGAGCCTATTCAGCAGTGGAGGCCACGGGAGCACGGGGTGCTCTGCTTACTTCCCCCTCCACGAGCAGCAGAGGACCAGACAGCAGAGCCAGATGCTCTCAGGACTGAGGACTCTTCTCCAAGTCCTCTTCCCACCTCAGAAATGAAGTGAGAAAACAAGCACGGCCTCGAAACGGTCAAGGAAAGTTTTGTGGTGGTGGCTTGAGGCGGGGAGGGGAGCAGGAAACACCCAGCAGGCAGAGCACCCACGTGAAAGGTTGAGGAACCACCAAATGTCAACTTCCCTTCCAGGAGATAACGCTGCAGGAGATCAAGAGCGAGGTGATCTTTCGGCTGCAGGGCACTGAAACCCAAAGCACCTGCCGGGCTGTTCCTCTCGAGGCTTTTAGTTCTCACTTAAAAAGCAGCTTTGTGAGCTCTGGTGGTATCCAAAGTGGCAGTGCCCAAAAAAAAGCCACAGGCTCTGGGCAGCCCCAGCTCGGCCACTCACCTGCTTTAGAAGCCGCCTCTGCAGCAAAGTCCGCAGCAAACTTCTTCAGCACCTCAGCACTGTCCTCCTTGACAAAGAGGCCGATGAAGTTGGAGGATGTGTAGAGCTCCAGGGGCAGGGGGGCGGGGAATTTGCATTTCCAGCGCATCACGGTGGCCTGCAGGGCCTCTGTGAGAGCATCCACCTTGCTGTCCTCACACTGCCAAGGGAAGGGCAGGCACTTGTCAGGCAGGGAAAGGAAAGCAGGGTGTGTGTGTGTGTGGGGGTGTGAACAGCCTACCTTAGCTGTATCACAGCGAGAAAAAGCACAGGGGCACAGAAAAATCCATATTTAGAAATCCCCTGCCCCTCCCTCGCCCTCGAAGCGGGATCAGCCGTCCTCAAGTGACCTTCCCAACCTCACCCCACCCCCCCATCCATTCTCCTGCTAACGATCACTTGGGATGATGAGAACTTGGTCCTCTGCTGCTGCTCTTGGCTGAAAACAACAGCTTAAAAACCAATTACCTCCTCAACAAGCCCAGGCATCAAGCAAAATTTCAACCCCAGCTCCCCAAACCCTTGTGCAGGGACCGAGTGGAGCGTGGAAAGCTCCACCCTGAGCCTGGCAAGGCAGGGAGGGAGCTGTGCCTCACCATGAAGAACTGGCACAGGGTGATGTGTGGGAAAATGTTGTGAGCTTTGTTCTTCCCACAGATCTGCTTCGACTGCTGCCAGAAGTCCGAGAGCTTCTGAGCCAGGGGGCCCGTGGGGCGCAGGTACAGGACGTACTCCCGGGGCAGGGGGTCGTCCAGGAACGGGTCACCCACGTGGGAGAAGAGCCTGGGAGGGAGAAACAGCGGTTAGGTTGTCAGATAATGGCACATTTTCTCCCAGCAAAACCAGCTTTCCCCTGTCCTCGCTCTCGTTCGTTCTCCCTCTGCGGGAAAAGTCACCTCTGGCAGGTCAGGCAGAGCTGCCCTGTCCCCCCTCCAGCCCATCTCCACTGTCAAGGAATACAGAAAATTGGGGTTTGGCTTCAGGCTGATGCTCTGAAGATCCAACCCAGGTCACTGCCTCTGCCTCTCTGCCTTCTCAGTGCGCAAAACGCAAGGGGGAGAGCGCTGGAAATTGCTCAACATCTCTGAAAAGGCAGCTCTCAGCTTTCTGTTCATCAGCTGCAGATAGCGGGGGGTTCTTTCTCTCATCTGTTTCTGCTTTTACTCGAGACCACAAACTCCCTCAGACAAAGCTCGTTGCTGGATTGCTTATTTACAGCACTTAAATAGCGTTTCACTGAATTCTGCAGGTGCTTTTCAGATGATGACCCCGTTTTACATCCCCCTTTCTAATGGCTGAAATCTTAAATCCACTAATTTCTTTTACTTTTTAACTTTTATTCATACCAACCAGTCGCATGCTGCTTGAACACTTCTTCCACCTGTGGATGCCAGTGCTTTTTGTCTGGAGAGAGAGAGAAAATAAAGAGTGTTTTAGTGCTGCTGGGTTATGTGGCTCCTGTCACAGGTATTCCTTGGACCTTCCTTGTGTTTGGAAAGCTGTGGGATACCCTTTCCAGGCTGATTCTCTCAGCCCTGGGGCTTTTTTTTTTCAGATGTGCCACCTGCCAAATTCCTGCAAAGTGTTTAAAGGGTGAAGTCTGAGATATGGACTTCAGGGTTTTCCATGTTTTCCCGATTTTATGGACAGTGAAGCACTGGATATTGGCATTCAGTGACCTCTTTGCTGGTTGTTTCACCAAGAAAACCCAAAGGTTTGGGTCTGAAAGTGCAGACGTTGCACTGAGGACAAGAAAAATTCAACTGCCACGAGAGGGCACAAACCAGAGATTTTCAAGGTTAGAACAGTTCCCTTCAGTCCTTGCTACACAGAAACAGCTCTTCTGCTTTTTTTTTTTCCCTTCAAGACACCTCTAAATCCCTTTTCACTCCAGCTGGGAAGACCCAAGTCTCCTGTTCTGCAAATTTTCCAGTTGCAGGACAGATTGACACAGCGCTGTTCAACTCCCAAATGTGGAACTGTGCTTTCCAAAGGCTCGGCATCAGCACTGAAATGCAGCTGTGGATCAGGGAGGAATTCACCCAGAATCCAAATGGCAGAAACACTGAGGGGAAAATGACGAGTGGAGGAGGCAGAAAAGGATAGAAACGTTGGGGTGGTGGGGCAGGAGACAGGCTTTGAGTTGGTTGAGGGCAAAATTCCCCATGAATGGGTGATTTCAAGGCTTCCTGCTTAAGGGAAGAAGGGCAGACTCCAGGTGGGTCTGAGATCAGGGCAGTTTGGACCCTCTATGCTTCTGCCACCTTCCCTGTCTGCAGCAACAGCTTTCCAAAGCACCCTGATAGCCACGGAGGATGTTCATGCAGTGTCACCCACCAGCTCCTAGACATGTGTTGTTGACTCAGCTGTGTTTCAGCTCTGCCCTGGCCTTCCCCACCCCTTGAATACACATATTTTTGCTCATTTTGAGAGCAAGAGGAAGGCAGAAAGATAATGCTGCTGCTGAAAAAAAAAACCAAACCAAAACAAAAGAAAAAAAGGGGGGTGGGTGGGTGAGTATTGCAAATGTGTGATTATGAAAATAGTTCCTCCTGAAGGGTTTTGCTGCCCTTATCTGCCAGTGCTCATGTGAAGGCACCTGCCTTCTGAAGGACAGCTCTTGTGTGGTGAACACTGCAGGTTGGGGTGTTCATCTTGCTGACCTTGCCTCAGCTGTGCTATGCAAAGCAGCCACTGCTTTGCTTTGAAAAGCAGCTCAGGCAAGAGCAAAGAGCCAAAAAAAGAAAGAAAATAAAAAAGCTCTTCCCAGCAACTTGCAGAGGGTGGGAACCTCTCAGGCAGGCTGGATTTTCCCTAGCCTGGTTTCTCACCCATTTCTGTTGCCTTTGCTCAGTTCACCTCCCCTCTTGCTTGTGCTTTTTAAAACACAGGGAAATAAATGGGTTGGAAGTGTCCAAACCATCCCTTCTGCAACGTGTCTGTGTCAAACCCAAGGCAGTGAATTCCAGCTGCCCTCCCAGCAAAGCCCTGGCTTGGAAATGAGCAGTTCCTCCTGCTGGATCTCCCTCAGGATTCCCTCTCCCCAGGCCCCAGCACGGATTTCTGGAGGAGCCATCCGAAAATCCAGCGGGACAGACGGTTCTGCCACCCACCCACCCACCCTTGGTGGCTTGTTCCCTCAATGAACTGATGTTTCCTCAGCAACAAATCACACAGTGGGAGCTCTGCTGGAGTGAACTGCAGCTCCTGCAGTGCTTGGGGACCACGAAGGGCATCACAGAACGTCAGGCTGGACCCTCAGACATTTGTTCATCCGTGATTTCCAAAGTTGCCTCTTTCATCCGCAGGGACAATAAACTCCCTTTTCAATTTCATTTTCAGGGTGAGCAGGAAATGCTGCATAAAGCAACCAAAAGCCAAAGCATATTTTTATCCCAGGACCTCAAACTAAGATGCTCTTCTCTTTTTTTTTTTCCCTTATTTTTTCATTTAGAGCAGGGAATGGTGATGGTGACTGATGGCCTCTGCATCCCTTCCAAATACTCTCCCCTGCAGCCAGAACTTGGAGAGGGCTCATCTTCCAGCTCCCAGGCCAAGATCAACTTTTTATGAGTTGAGTACTCAAAACTAGTCACAGCTTGTACAAAAATGGCCTGATTTTCACAACTGCTGAGTGCAGTGGGAGCTGGGAGGCATATTCTGCTCCTGAGAAAATCAGGTCACTTAATTAGGTGACTGGGGGGCTCAGATTTACTCATGCTGGGTAGCAAAGCAAGTGTTGGCTGTAGCATTGTAGTAAGTGGTAAAATCACTCAATCACTGGTTAAACAGGACCAAAATCTTACTGGGAAGCACATCCCAGCTAAACAGTTGACCCCTGGGCCCAAAACATTCCAGGAAATTGGTGTTGCTGCCCTGGTTTCCATGTTAATGTGTAAATGGTGGGCATTTTAACCCCAGCCCACACGATGGGAGAGCACAGAGCTCTGTGTGCTGCACAACTTAACTCCTCTCTCTTGAAGGAGTTTTGGCTTCCTGCAATTTCAGGGTAAGGAGAAAAAAAAAAAAAGGCACAAGGGAATGTCAATTCAGCTAGGAAATATATATCAATAAACAGAAATATAATGGCCAAATCCCATTTACTTCAGAGGAAATGACTGTAATGGGGAATGATGCATTAACCATAAAGAGAACCTGCAGTCTCAGAAGCACCACACAGAAACCTTCCCTCAGCTTTCTGATTCTAGTCCAGCACTTTAAAAACGGCTCAGCTTCATTCAAGCCCAGTTTAAAAAGGGGCTCAGCTTCATTCAGGCCCAGTTTAAAAAAAGGAAGGTGTGTGTGGCTGCCAGAGGCGATGAAATACCGTGTGGGAAAGTTAATGCAAACAGTGGATTAGAAGTTAATGCAAACACTGCAAGAGCAAGGGATGGCAGGGAGCTATTTTAAAGGTATTTCTTTATCTGCATTATATTTTCTCACTAAAAACCTCTGCAGGCTTCAGGGGGTCGATGCCCCCAGCAGGGATTTCCTTCACTTTGCCAAGCAGAGACGCCAGTTCTGCCGTGGGCAGAGCTGAGCTTTGTGTCTTTGAGGAGGACCTCGCTCTGCCCTGAGTTGCTGCTCTCAGAGGCAGGAGAAAATGCCAACATTTCTACCTCAGACCCACCTACAAACTGCCTCCAGAGGCACCAGGGGATTTGTGAATGAGCAATGGAAGGATGGAGGCAGCCTGTGAAAAAAAGCGAATGACTAAACCTTCCCTTTCGTTCTCAAGCCCAGACAAACTTCTTCCCCATGAACAAAACCCCTTGGAGGGATGAATTCATCATCTCAAGTAGCCCTGAATCTCTGGCCCATAAAATATTTAGCTGTGTAAATACTGATTTTTTTTTTTTTTTGGAAATGGCATAAAACATGATGGAATACTTGGCTCTCCTCGTTAGGTTCTGTTCAAAGGCCTGCCTGACATGATAAGATAGGAATTACAGATCATAATTTATGCCAGAGGAGTTTGAAAGAAGGATGCCATCAGACAGAGCTTTTTTCTTACAAATATAAAATCGGCACCTTTATTTTTCGCTTGTTTGTGTGCATAAAATATGTATTTATGTAAATACATATTCAAATAGGTATATGTATCTATTTAAAGCTTGACTTTTTCCATCTTTGTTGGTTTATGGTAAAAGAACAGACAGCAAAATGCTTGTTGGCTCCAGGGAATGAGAAAAAATAGGGATTTTCTAGATGTGAAGACGTGTGTCAGTCCAGGTACAGTCCAGGTCAGAAGTTCAATATTAACTCCTCCCTTAGTTTTTGTGTCAAGCTCAGCCATGGTGTGAGAGGTCCTGAATTCAAACCCAGCAACACCTCCAGGGAAGCTGCTCTAAATTCTTCACAAACAGTAAAATTCCCACATTTTCCTGTGCATGTTTGTTTCCCAACTGCCCACCTAAGTGACCTTCAGAGATTCCTGAATTTTGGCAGTTTTCATCAATAGTTGGTACCACCAACAGTGCAATAAATGAAACTTGTCTATTTTGGGCTTTCAATAAACAGTTGCACGTTGAAGAAAAGTTCTGCCAGCGAAATTTCTGTCCATCTCATCACCTGATCAGGGAAAGACACCCGAATTCCACAGTTTTCCTCCACACAAAAATGAGGTGTTCTTCCCAAACGGTTTTCCACGTGGGGCTGTGCCCCTCGGAATTCTCCAAGTGCAGAATTCAGTTGGTCACCAAAAAAAATCATCTGATACCATTTCTGTTGTTATTTGGGTGACCTTCCTTCTATAAATAGGGACAGCACAGGAAGATATCACCAGGGATCCAGTTCCTGTTTAGGGCAGGGGGTTGGGTATGTTCTTTTTCTGCAGGGGAAAAATAAACAAACCCCAAACCCTGTGCGTTTTTGTGAGACAAACAATCCTAATGTAAGTGTGTGGCAGAAATGTAATCACACACTGCTATGTATTCCCAGTCTCCAAATAGTTTAAATATTCATTTTTTTCAGAGGCACAGTCCTGCAGCCACAGGATGATGATGATGGTGATGGTGATGATGATGGTTTTTAAGTGCAAACAGCGAGGGCCTGGGCGTGTCTCTGGTTTACATGTTTGTTTCTGATGGTTATGTAAGATTTTGAAGGCGGATTTCTTTTCCCCCCCTCCTTCTTTAGCACATGTGCACTAAGTCATCCCCCTAATCCTCTGCTCAGCCAGCTTGTTAAAGCAAAAGGAGAGGGAAGTACAGGCTCGTAAAAAGTGTCCAGGATAAAGGCAGGAATGTAGCAGCCATTTAACGTGTTTAAAGAGATACACGGTTTAAAGAGGAAGCAGGATATTATTTTCCTCAGAACAATAACAGCCCAGCTTTTTATGAGATGTGGGCTTAGATGGCCAAGTCCTGAGCTCATGTGGCCCTCCATGTCCCTGTGGGGTGGAG